TCGACGTCAGTACTACACTGAGAGAAAAATAAATTTGATATTTGTAACTGTAAAACCGTAACTATATGTTATAGTAGAAGAATTTTTGTAGATAATGTTACCATAGTGTCAATATAATAACAATCTTGCATGCATGTGGCTATTACTATTATTGCGGTTAAGAAGGATACGATAGGGGCTGAAAATAATTTCTCTCAATGCAGGTTAGATGAAATGTTTTATCTCGTTACTGGTTGTTCGTTATTGGCAGATTATTCATTAAAGTATAAAACTGGTTTCGCTTTCTAGCCATTGTCCAGCCATTACATAGCCATGATAGCATGGAATAACGCCGTATACTCTAAAATATATAACAATTTCTACATACCCGCCATTAACATTTAAGAATGAAGTATTAAAATTCAAGACACATTATTCGATAAAAATTGTAAGAAAGCAGAAGCGAACGTTACATTACTGTGTAGCAATTAATACATTTCTATTTAGATATGCCTGTCTGATTCTCAAGCTGAAACAAAATTGTACGTGACACTCATGAAGGAAAACGGAACTTGGATTTAAAAGAGCGTACGAACATTCGCGATCCGGAATAGGGCTTCTCAGGTTCTTTCAGGACACGAGCTCCGTCCTCGAGCTGCATCCTTGTAGAAGTTTTCGCGAGCCTGAAGAGAGTATATATCGCGGACTTTCTTCGGTAATGCAATCTCGAGATATCTTTCCGGCGGAATGAAGTTTCCCCCGGCTGGCGGCTGGCGTTCCGCTGAAAAATCCGCGAGAGCGTCTAGAATCGAAGCGCGAGTTATTTCCGTAACCTCTCCCGTCTGTAGCGGCTGGCCGTACGGCTTTTACCTCAAAAGGATATCTCCTCACATCTCGCAGCTGTCGGACTCGACACGATATACGTTGCCCCGACGAATTCCTCTGATACCCTCCGCAGACTTTCATCCTCCGATCGAGGAGAGCCGCGGCATATGTGGCACAACGCTGGTTTCACGCGCTGTAAATTATCCGCGCGCGGCCATTCATACCGCGGCAAGATGCCTTCGCTCCTTCCTTCCTTCCTTCCTTTCTTCCTATCTTCCCTAAATTTTGTTCGAGCTGTTCGAGTACGTGTCGTGCGTTTCATAGCGTTCATGCGAGAGCAAATTGCGAAGTTGTTACGCGCACCGCGTCTCTCTTTCTCTCCCTCTTTCTCGCCCTCTCTCCGTTCCTCTTTCTATCCCGCTCGCGTGTCGCGGAGGCGATAGTGACTTTCGTTCGGCGTAACATTGAGCAGGAGAAGGTCACATATCCGCGATCATTAACATTGGGAAAGAGATGTAGGAAGCGTACGCGCACGCACGCCTATCAACGACATTAATCGCCGGCTCTTGTCGCGGCCGTTTTGAGGAAGTAACGCGCGCGATTCGCCGGAAGCGGGCGGAGGAGCCGCGGATGTCTCGTAAGTTTTAGTACTCACGTGGATGAATAGGCTCTCATGTCTCGTAAAATACGTGAAAGGGGAAAAAGAACCGCCTCTCGTCGTAAGTTAAAGGAGCGGAAGTCTCGCGCGATTTTCATCGTGGGGATCGATCGTAAATTTCGCGTTTTAAGTATAAAACACTTTCGCTAACTAAGAATTGTATCAGTTTGAAGATATATCGTTCTTCCTATCCGTTATTTTTTTCTCTCAATTCGTAAAAATTATTTTTAAATGACAAATATGGTATTTTTAGTGGAACTATATAGAATTTTTTCATTTATAAGCAAGTTTTATTTCCATATAAGATTTTCATATAATATATTGTTTATGTGTGAGAATATGAATCTTGTATTGATACTAATTTTTTTCCATATATGAATATTCGGCAATTTTCGGGTTCGATTGTAAATTTTGCGTTTTAAATATAACGTGTAAGAGAATCTTCCCGATTTTTCATCCAAGACGCACGTTTCCTTTATTCCGTTAAATTTTAAATTTTATTTCTTACGACTGGAAATATACATTCTGGTGGCGTTCTTCGTATTTTTAACGATCGAAATATCCGCACAAAACTGATACCTTTACGAATTTTCGAATTTTATTCATTTTTATTAAAAACAATTGTTACTTAAATTTTTATTAAAACCAAGCAAAAAAATTGTTGAATGTTAATTAAGTTAAGTTAATTAATCATCAAGTTAACAAGTACGATGCATTTGTTCTTCACCTGCGGAATGGGGACTGCAACTCGCGGACTGAAAATATCTTTTCTGCTCGCTCGAAAAACAGCGAATCGCCGATCGGAGATTTTCTCGGCGAACCGGTTTCGCCGTCGTGCGCGGGCGCACGATTAGTATAGGGAAATTTCGCTTGTAACTCGCGAACGAGACGGGGATTTTAATTAGCGATGGTGTGACACAGCCATTTCGCCGTTTCGTGACTGGACATTGATGGATATTAATCCGGATGCAGCGTCGAAAGATACGGCGTCAACGTCGAGTGGAACGTCGCGCCAACCACGACGACGAGTCGGTGTACCGAAGCAAATGAAGCGATGAGACGGTATTCGGTAGTAGTTGGCTGTTTTGTTCCACGCATAATTCTCGTTAGAGACGGTACCACTTGCACGCTGCGTCTATACACTTACGTAAATTTGCGCGCGCAATGAGCTTAAGTGAGTCTTCTTTCGTGGGGCCCCGCGGTGGGTCAGATAACGGTCAGCCGAGTATTCCACTTGGCCGGTCTGCTCGCACCTCGATTCACCGCGTCGACGCGGCAATTTGAGCGCGGATGGAAATTTGAAAACGTTTCTCGCGGATTATCGACACGCTGCGAGAGAAACTCCCAATCTCATTTTTGTTAAAATTGAATTTATTGGTGGAACAAATAAACAAAATATACATATATACGCATATTGTAATATTACAGATATAATATAATATTAATAATATTATAGCAGCGATACATACGACAAAAGAAAGATTAACTATATGTTTCTTTTAACATCACAATGCCGAAGCAGAATGATGGGACTTCTAATTAATGTCTAGAACTGTGATTTTATTTTTAAGCAGTTTTTTATCAGGTTTGATCATCGTGAGCACGCCCGACTGTTTTCTGTATAAGTTGGATATTATCGAATGTTATCTTTTAAACATCATTCTTAAGAAGTTGACTTCTTCATTTAGTTTGATCATCTTAGGTTAATTTTAGTTTATCTTGGAAATTTCCGGAGTACGGATTAATTCGTTGAAGAATGCTTCACGTTCAACGAGTGACTCTCAGTCTGCCCAAGATCGTGCCTAAGAACTGTCTGTTATTTAAACGCCCGCGTCATTCTCGCCGTCTCCGTCAGTAGCTCACAATAACTGGTTGTCAAGACGGTAGGTAGAAGCAGATCGACTTTGATAAATAGGAGGGGGGACATTGCTCGCGCCGCGGATGCAGAAATTTTGCCGTGACTTTCGCCGAAACCAATCCCACTGACCCACTGCAACCCGACGGATTAGAGTTCAGCAATTACTCGTGAAATTTAATTGGCACCACATCACGCGTCATGGTTACATAGTCCGATGTTGTAAAACGCCGCCGTCACGAACTTTGATCCACATTTCTGACTTTCTCGTTGCGGAAATAACACACAGCTGAAAACGATCTAAAACTCCTGATCGGGAAAAATCGCACGGGAGAATTTTCGTTCGCCGCATTATCGCGCGATTTTTTTCGATGACAACGCGATTTGACGCAGTCGCTACATTCTAAAACGCTCTATTAACTGCGTTTTTTTTTAACCTTCGTGGTCGTGCGGATGACAAGTGTCGTTCATACACAAAAAAATACATACTGCATTTAAATAAATATTACCTCTTTCAAGTATTTCGTAAATTTATATATTCACAAGTATTTCATGAGTCCATCATAAGCATCAGATTTATTCGAAATATATTCTGAATCCAAGTAAGCTTAGTACTTCAATCAAAAATATTAAATTAAAACACTAAGAGGACATTTGCCATCCACGCGACCATTTCAGAGTTAAGACAACAGGTAGAATTTTCCGCGAGAAAGGAGTTTCTACGAAGAGAGGATCGCGAATGCTGCTTTGGCGCTGAGCCAACGCAGCGTCCCAAGGTGCATCCAGTTGCCACGTGTGGCCTTGACACGCACGTGCGTCGAACGCGGTATAACCCATCCGGCGTAATTCATTCATTCGGAACGTCCGTCGGCTGCAACTCATTTCCGTTTTAGTCGCTTCCAATGCAATCTACTGAGATCGGTACTGGCCGAATAAATCGGTGATTCACGAAATCGCGTGACCCGCTCGCGAGCACGAATTGCTCGGTAAATCCCTCGCCGCGTATTACGTTCCATTTGTCAAATTGCCCGATGCTATTTATCAATCGAGGCCCCATGGGAAATGTTTAAATTAAACCGGTTTCGTTTCTTTTCCCTCTTACCCTGCCTATTCGGATAAGGCATTCAATAAAATAGGAGCGATGAATGTAAAATCAGTGACAAATAAGATGCTTTTGTAAGCGGCTGAGTCCACTTTTATCAATAATAACATGAATTTAGCTTTTAGTATGTTTGAAGCTAAAAGATCGAGAAATAGAGAACTCGTATTCCACTGATCAAGACATAAACTAAAAAGAGAAAGAAATTATAATTATTTTCGGCCTTGACTAAATAATATTTCTTTATTGGACGCTAAAAGTTACAGATTAAAAAGTTAATTATGCAAAGTTTAATTTAACATTAGCTTAACTTCCAATTAAGTTGGTTCAAATAATTTTTAACTTAACTAAATTTATTTTATAGGCTATTAACTTTTACCTTTTAACTTAGTTAAGAATTAATTTACCCATACTATAGTAACGCTTAAAATGATTCTTCTGACTATAATAATTCCCTTCATTATGATGATTATAGTTAGATAGATTATAATATTAAATATTTTTCTCAGTGTAGCTCAAAACCGTTTGATCGTGAAGTTCTATCATCGGCGTGAAGTCTGATAACATTCATGATGGGTTCTTAGGTGGAAGACCGGCTGAGTCCCGTTAGCTACGTCGTACCAGACGAGTTCTGTCGATGTCTAGGTCTCGAGGAACTGTCGTTATTTCGTCCGAAGGACAGCGGCTCCGATGACGCGGCGTGTCTTCGTGACTCCGTTGCTGACCCACTTGTCAATGGGTAACAGTAACGGACGAGGTCCGGTATGTCCAAAAATTCCGCGTGGTGTAACAGTGACACCGTTTGAACGGGAAATAAATCGTCGCTCGCGTTTTCGCGCGCAACGCGGGAGAAAAATTCCTCTCGCGCGGTGAGCGAGACGCGACCGCGAAAACGTACGTCGTCGTTTCCCGTTTCCTCGATCGTGCGCAAGCGACGCTATTTTCGACGTCTCGTTTGCGCCGAGGAAAGTGCAAGTTACGCTCCGCCGAATGCAGATTCTTCCCCCTCTCAAGATCGCACGCGTGCTGTGCCTTTCGCGAGTGCCTGGACGATTAATCGCACTTTTTCCACTACCTCGTAGCTTTGCGGTGGACATTTCACGCGTAGCGCGCGCACGCTGGCGAATTCGCGATCGAGTTCGTTCGCTTTGTTTGAATCTGCCTCGACATCATTGTCTGCGTTACCAAGCGTTAGCTATTATACGAAACTATCGACACCTCCGCTCGCTGAATAGATTTTGTTTTAATTCAACGCGTCCGTCATGTTATATTAAATATCACAGAGACGAGATATACGTATTTATTAAATCAACCGCTCGAAATTGTATTAAATCCAAAGGAATCTTTTCCTCTGTATATAAGTATCTTCTGAAATAATTAGTGCGTTGTGTATATGTGGTATTTAATTTAGCGATATATTTTAATATACGGGTTACAATTATAATGTCTACTAACGCATTTGTTCCTTCTGTGATTGCAGGCAACGATACCAAAGAATAAGAAATAGCATGCCAAGTCAAGGCAGGATATCGTCGAGTTGCCTCCTCCTGTTGTACCTGAGCACTTCGATATGGGTTGTTGTCGGTACGTATGCGCACACCTCGGAGAACGTGAGGTTTCTGTGAACCCACCGTAACGATAGAATTATTTTCGCGAGAGTAACAGCGACACCTGCGGCATTCATCCTTGTTAATCGACCCTAATACCGAGAGACACGCGCGAAACGCGGAACGAATTGCGTAACAAAAGCAACGACGATATCAAGGGAGATGTGTGTATTACGACTTATGTAATAACACGACGGGGACCGTATTATTATTACGAGATGATGCGGTGAGTCGAATTTTTTTCACGGACTGATGCAAATCGGTGAAAAATCGATTACGTCGGCGATTTAAGTCGAAAAATAGAGCGCGACTCGCGGCGTGCAGCCTCGTAACCTCTTTTTACCGAGAAAGTACTTTGGGGATTTGCATGCGACCCGATCGATTATATCTGCGCTGGACATTATGTGACTTCCCTTGAACACGAGGTTTACCGGCCATTTCGAGCGTAACGGGGAAATTGTACGTTTTCAATGACGGGATAGACCGTTCTGGATAGCTCGTGAGACTCTTTCGCGTGAGAAAGATTGGTATACTTTATCGGGACGATCTTTTCCACGAACGTGCGCGATCGCCGATTAATCGCGGCGTGAAAAATGAACGTTTCCTTCCGTACGAAACGGTCCGGTGAGCCGCACCGTCGATGATCGTCCATTTATTTTTATATCGCTAGAAAGTCCAACATCGTCGTCCGAACGGCTCGGAGAAGAAAGAGAGAGAAGGAAGAGATTCTCGTCATTTCACCGCGGGATCGCGGCGCGTAATTTCATTTTCGAAATCCGTACTCTCTCACAGACACACGGGAAAACAATTCCGTCGATGTAACTGAATTCTCCGTTGGCGGGGAAGAATAGGAACCAGACGAAAAACTCGTTCAGGAACAGGAATATGATATTTTTAGTTTAGCTATATAGAATTTCTTCGTATAGGCAAGTTTTATTTTTATATAAGATTATATATTCTTATTTATGTATGAGAATACCAATCTTTTATTGATATTAATGTTTTTTCCGTGTATCAACATTCAGCTGCAACCGAAAACTCGGTTGGAACTACTAAGAGCAATCGACTGAGCAGAAAACCTTCTATAGGAATCTTCTGTTCCTACGAACAACCGAATTTCCGTCTGGTCCTCCAGATGTGACGGAAATTCAATTACACCAATTGTTACACGGAATTGTTTTTTCCGCGCGGTAAGCACAGAAACGTCGCAAAAGCGATACAAGCGTTTTCCGCGAAGCACTGAATCAGCCTCGCTGGTTCAGGTGACACGAATGATTCGACAGAATAGCGGCGAGCAGCGACGAGGGGTTTTTATATTTTCCGGCCACGTGAGCGGACGCGACGGCGTTGCGGCACATTTCGACTCGTCTATGACAATTAGATAACATTGTTCTTTGTCTCGGCCAGGAAATCCCATTCGGTACAGGACGAGACGGGAAGCGGAGATAGCGTTGACCAACTGGACCGCGTTGGCCGACGAGTGGATCGCGGCGAAGGCGCGGGCGGCTGAAAAGATGGACGTGGCATTGTTGCCGTTCAACGAGAGGTACAGGGAACTTCCGCCGACCGCGTCCACGGAGACCTACGTGGTTAACGGCACAAATCCGGATCATATGGCGCGGGTGAGGAAAATCTCCTGTTGGTTTCGTTGTCTCTTTCGAGCGGTGCTATCAATTTGGACTATCCGAGTACCTTGAGTCTTCCGGATACCTAAGTAATTAACCCTTTTAGTGCCGGGAGCCGATATATCGGCTCCTGCTACACCGGCGAGAAGTGTCAGAGCCGATATATCGGCCCGCACCTTGTAACGCTTTACTATTCGCATTGCGAGAGATCTCTATCAAAATAAATTTAAAATACGTTATAAATAGTCTAATTTCATTACGAGAGAATTAAAATAAATAATTTTTAAATATTGCTTTTCGTTTGGTTTTTATGAGCCTTTTACCAAATCCTAGTAAAATCGGCCGGTTATCTTCGCATAAGCACCTCTTTTTCGCCCGGCACTAAAAGGGTTAATTATACGGTTCTTTTCAAACAGTACAAAATATTGATTTTTTTAACGATAACAAATAATATATTGCAAACTTGTATTATTTACTCATTATTATTTGTTGATTGGAGTAATATTCGTAAATATGAGTATCCGGGTACTCAGATACACAGCAGAAAATGCTAGAATTAAATAAACATAAATTACCTGTTTTTCAGTCCTTCAAATTAAGTAATATTTTATCAATTTAAATATGCTTTGATGGCTTAAAGTAAATATTACTGAAAGTAATTGTGAAAATTATGTTGTGTAAATTATGTAATACTTCTTTTTATGCATGGAAGAGATTTAGTATTTTAAATTTTGATTTTTTCCAGTAAGTACTTTTTTAAATAAAAATTCGGATGTTTTCAGTATTATGAGATATTATTCATACAAGCTAATGTCCAATTATACGAAGAAAATATCATATATTATATATAGTTAATTATAATCCTATTCCTAGTAAGTGTTTGCCAAGAAGTATTGAAGTAACCTTTTCACTCGGATCGAATAAATGTTATTTAAATGTAGCACTTTCTTCTTTAAGTGTAGAATCTGCGAATGTGTATACCCATGTCCGGATAATCCCGAAAGATCGCTCTTCCGGAACTCTTCTAGCTGTTCGTGAGCCGCCGATTTTGCAAGACAATCTTGGCTCGTTATCGATTGAAAATTTCCCCCGGCGAACAATACCACAGTAAACCGTGTGTTTTATCTTTTTCTTTTTTCTTTTTTCTCTCGTAGGGAAAATGACATAAGAATTTGTGTTAATGATGTGGCGTAAGCCGTGCTGCCGCACGTTGCGGATGCTCCGTCGCGAGACTTTTAGAAAACACGCAAAAAGATGCGAGACAAGCGCTAATTGGATCGTCGAGGTGATGCTGCGACGTCTTCATGCGCTGCTCGATAGTCCCGTTATCTGATCTTAAGTCTATCGGTTTGACGTAAAATATATTTATTAAATCGTTCTTACAAATAAGCAATTTAATTTGCAGACTCAACAAAATAATTCCACGGATGGTAATTAGTAAGAAATCGTTTTGCTGTCCGCATAGTAACTGACAGATTTGCTTGCGATAGCATATAAATTTACTGTGCCAGCGAATTGTTTTTCTCCGTGCAGCTCCCTCGAGACAATTGAATTCCAAAAGCGTCGACGTTTGTTTCCAATCAAAGATCGAATCCAGGATTTGGGAATTTTGGGAGAAAAGACAAAGCGATCGCTTTCAGGCGCACTTTTTGTATGTCTGCGACGCATTGCGTAAGTTCGACGGCCTATGATATCGGCGACGTACGCAACGGCGGCCGGCGTGCATCGTTCTGTTTCTACTTCGCGTGACAGTAGTTACACGCTGGACGCAATCAGACCGTTGAGAATACATTCGACACACTCGATTAATAGGAAAAGTAGCGTTTGATCGAAGCCTCGCTTTCCGTAAACAGATTGTCGTGACGACGAAACATGCGTCGTTCCTCGCCAGCGGGGATCGTTGGTGGGATAAGTCGGAAGAATCGTGGCGATCGTGAAACGAGGGAAGACCATTCCAGAACTTTCTACGGTTCGTTCGCGCTTGCTCCGCCTCGTAATGAGACGAAATCGTTCTAATCGAAGCATTTTCACTCTTGTACGTGCAGGTCTGGGCACTTCGATCAGCCCCACACCCGGTACGTTTCTCTCTCTCTCTCTCTCTCTCTCTCTCTCTTTCTCTTTCCTCGGGATCGGTTTAGAAAAGCGTTCTTCAACGGCCAGTTAATAACCGATAGCCAATGAATCGTGTAATTAATTAATTAAAAGTGATCCGATACGCGTTTCACCGCTGATGGCCCTTTCTAAAGGCGCTCCAGTGCGCTTTCATCTCTCGTCTACGTAGCGTCGCGTATATCCGTATGTACCGTTCCGCCTTCGCGCGCGCGCCAGGATATTATTCGCGACGTAAGCCTCCCAATCAAGCGCGAACAATGTATGTGCGGCAGCGGAATCAGCGACGGTGACTGCCGAGAAATCACTTTCCCATATTGGGAGTTTCACCCGTGAAATGTATCGCCGCGGTTATGAGGATATAATCCTAATAGCGAGAACGCGGCTCGTCCCGCGAACAATTCCGGGATCGCGTCATCGTCGGATTCTTCCGTACTGTTTTCTCCTCCTGTGCGCGGAAAAGGGAACAACTTCGTTAGTGCAGCCGAATTTTCCCGGCAGAAATTCAGATGTGACACCGAAAAGAAGCGGAGGTGGGTCGACAAAATCGGCGGGGATCTTCATTCAAGAAATATTGTGTCCATCGAACGAATTACGCGTTGGTGCAACAATACGTCGCGTTAGTTGCTGACCAAATCGCAATCGTTGAACCAATTGGTAATTCATTACGGCAACTATATCATTTGTTCAGTGGACTAAACGTTGTGCTTGAGAAAATGTTGTTTGTTTAAAACGAAATTTCGTTGATTCCAACCAGGAGCAGGAGGATTCCTGCAGGAGGTTTCTACTCATCTAATTGCTCTCAGTCCACCGCAATCGAGTTTTGATACGGCTGAATGCTCAGATATTTTTGGTCGCGGTAACCGAGATATCATTTCTCGTATTCAATGTTTTCTGAATTTTTCTTAGACTGAAAACTCGCTCGAAGTGAGCGAAAAGTGGCAATATTTTCACTTGGAGTGATAGTGAAAATACTCGCATATCACTCGCAAGTGTGAATGTTTCAAGCTTAGAGTGGATTCTGACTCCGTATGGGTGAATGATTCAATCGATTGGAGTGAATAGGGGAAGAAGTGCGGTGATTAGCGTATCGGCATATTTAAACGCAAGATTAACAGACTAACTACTGTCATATCGAGTGCAACTGTTTAGCAGCTTAAATATTGAGCTTCGGTCACTAAACTCCAAATTTACATATTTCTTTATTTAACATATTTCTAATGAGTGACAATCACTCTGACAAGTACATCAATCATCATGACATGAGTGTCAATTACTGTGATTTTCGTTATTTCAATTCGATATTTTATTTTGAGCAAGACATATTTTATTCTTCCAATATAATTATGTATTCTTGCAGCGTAGAATTTTGACTCATTTTTACAAAAAAAAAAAAGAAATAAATTCTACAAGTTTCAGTTTTGCATAAAAACACAGCTTGAAATAGAAATGTATCCTAAAACTGCCAATCATTATACCTCTTCCCCTACATTCCATCAGATTCACTCTTCAATTTCAAGTGGAAATATTTACTCGATGATTCGGAGAATTCGCTCTATGCGAGTGAAAAGTCACACGAAATCGAATGACTCGGTGGTTATCCTACTTTTCGAGTGAGATTTCACTTCAAGAAATTCACAGAGTAATATTGCCGTTGGATCAGGAAGACTCGCTTCTAGAGATTCAAGAAGACGGCGCTGTCGACCAATTTTATCGATGCGACTGCGTTATTCTTCCTTTTCTATTCAGTTACAAGAACTGAGATTTTCCCCGTGTACGACGGCGGTGTTCCTTCTTTTCGACAACGTTCTGCTGTCCTCCCCCGCCTCCCCCCCCCTTTCTTTTCTCTCTTCTCCTTCCCCGTGCGTCTTAGCTCTCGACCCGGACGCGACTTGTCGCCGGCTCTCACTTTCAGTGCCAAAATACTTTCACCGTGGCGACCGACGACGCGAATGCAAGTATGTACCCTCTATCCTTCCACTATTCGCTTCGTTTACACGCGTACGCGTAATATACGGTGTCAATGACTTTCGCCCGCGAAAGTCGCGCCGATCATCGATACCGTTCGTCATCGCTTGCGTAAAAGAAATCGCCGGCGGACACGCCGCCGCCCCCTTCGATCTCGCGGAAAGTCGCGCGATCGATTTTCGATCGTCTCGCGGGAGGAAAGTCGCGAGCGCGCGCGGACGAGAATTCGCTTCGATGAACGAAGCGAGTTACTCTGCGTTAGATCGTGCACTGAATTGATTTTCAGCTTGTCTCCGCGCTCTCGTTCGTTTAATTGCTGACGATAAAATGGATATTTGAAAACTAGTACGAAATCGTCTCGCGGGGTAAAAAGAGAAAGAGAAGAAAGAAAGCAAACCTCGACGATCACGGTGAATCGGATAGTTCGCGAGTGGCGCTTGACTTCGTTGAATTTCGCGACGCGGCTTCGCGTTTGATTTGCTAACGGTGGACTGCTTGCGTGAGAGACGATGAAATTTGCAAAAGGCGCGCGATATTACACACACACACACACACACACACACATATACAAGCGTAACTAACCGTGTGCAACGACGCTCGACGCCGTCGTTTGAGTCGGCGTTGACGAGCACGCACCGTGTGGAACAAATTATCTCCGCGTGTGTCCCACACAGTCATGATACGACAGTTTCGAGGCGCTGTTCCATGTGGGATCGAGAGGTAAAATTGAATCGCTCGCGAAGAAAGCGTCCGCGCGACGTCCGAGGTGGAGTGACCGAAGAAATCGGTAAAAGTCGGAGTCTCGAGGGAGGGGAGTTTTCAGCGACGGAGCTGTAATTAAATCGCGTGTTCGTCGAAGGGACCGCAATTGTAAACTCCGCAATTTCACGGATCACCCGTCCAGCTGTTCATGATCGCGCGTGGTCTTTTTTTGTGTTTAATCGCAGTTGAATTACTCGCGGATGCTGTGGGACATGGAGACGGTGCAGCCGAGCGGGCATCTGTCCGGCTTCGTAGACAAGGCTCTTAAGTTGTTGGACCTGAGGCAAGTAATGATGGAGGTCGAGACCTCCGTAATGTCCAAGGTCTCGTGCACCGCGTGCAAGGTCGGCGCCGGCCTGCTGCAGCATTACATCAAGGTTGGCAAGAGTGACGAGGAGATCATGGCCAGCATCTATCAATTCTGCGTGTCGCTTAACATACAAAGCGCTCGGGTGTGCCACGGAGTCACTCTGCTCTTCGGGGTAAATTCTATTGCATTCTGCGCTTTTTCCCCCCATTTCGCTCGACTAGGCGAATAAGAACGTGTCGCAACGACGCCATTGCTGTGATTAACCCGAATTGAGCCTCTCGGAGACTTAGACTGAACGACTCCGTTTCTCGTAATTTCCTTATTTTAGCGTCGACTCGAGTCGACATTTTAATGCTACTTTGACACCTTAAGGATAGTTCGAGCCCACTTGGATGGCCTATGAATGAGTAAAAATTACTTAAAAACAAAATTACAAAGAGTGGAGTTGATCAGTTTAACTAGTAAAAGACTCGATTGTCTTTCACGAGATTCGCCGTCTCTCGTGGTTCAGCTTGACTCGTCCCCGCGAAATCGCGCTTCCCGCGGAATATAATGACGACTGTTGTCGAACAACGGCAACCGTTCAAGGCGGATTGATCAGTTTCTCAGCGAGAGCGCTGTGTTCGTTCGTCATCTCCCAGCCGAGAAAATCAATAACCATCTTAGGCCGTTATATTCACAGTTAGATCTTACTTTTAAGACCGTCTTAAATTCATAATTCACCTTCAAATGCGTTGCAGCTAATGAAACGATCCACACAGCGCTTGAAGGTGAAAAAAACCCAAGACGATCTTGAATATAAAATCCGATTATGAATGCCGGCCTTCTGTAGTCGCGACTATTTTATCGTCGAGTCGAGCGCTCGGACCGTTGGACCGATATCGTTGAATTCTCGTCGCAGGTGGAGGTGATCTACGTGCTGAAGCAGGTGAGCATGGGCCCGGCTCAGATCTGCAGCTTCGTGATCGGCGACGCGTGCGACGACGCGTTCAACCCGCTCCACGAGTGGGAGGTGGCCTTCCCGCCGGTGAAGAAACCGCCGATCAAGCCGCCGATACCGCCCCAGGAGGGCGCGCCGACCTTCAAGGTGCTGCACATCTCCGACACACACTACGACCCGTACTACCAGGAGGGCGCGAACGCGGAATGCAACGAGCCGCTCTGCTGCCGCTTGACGAACGGCGCTCCGCTGACCGCCTCGGCGGCCGCGGGCCGATGGGGCGATTACAGAAAATGCGACACGCCGAAGAGGACGATCGACCACATGCTGAAGCATATCGCCGACACGCATTCGGTGAGTAGCGGCTTCGAGCGAGCGATTAAAATGCGTTGCCACGCGGAAGATGAATATTGAGAGGCAGGAACGACGGTGACGATGAAACTGTTATTCTGGAGCGAGTCTCCGGCAGCTCGCCGGCGCTCGGGAAGAATCTCCAACCGCCGCGTCCCGGTTCTTTCGATCTGTAATTAACATGAAGAGTAACGTTAATTGTATTATTAAATAGGAGGATTAATTGATCATTCTGACAGAAAGAAGATCGATATGCGTGAGACACAAGCGACTGCCTCAATGTTTCAATCGGAAACTTATTGATAATTCGGTTCTCCTTTTGCGTATTATGAAAACATTCCGGGTCCCATTTCAGAGGCCTCTCGTCTACTCTTCTGATCGATCAATTGAATGCCTTCAATTTAATGAGCCGGGACAGTTAAATATACCGTATTTCGTTCGTGCGTATCCATGATTGATTGAGCGCGAAATGTCCAGGATATCGATTACATCCTGTGGACCGGGGACTTGCCGCCGCACGACGTGTGGAATCAGACGCGGGAGGAGAACCTGAAAGTCTTGCGTGACACGGTCGTGCAGATGGTGGAGATGTTTCCAGGCATTCCGATATTTCCGGCCTTGGGAAATCACGAGAGCGCGCCGGTCAACAGGTACGTCCGTCGTTCACGCGCGCGCACGCACGCACGCATGCACGCTTTACATTTCATCTCGACGACTTTCACTTTCCCGGAGGGTACCACCGCAGATAGCATCGACTCGAAATGCGTCCGCACACCCTGGAAAAAGCAATCTTTCGGTTCCGCTGTCTCTGCCGCGTACGACGTCTTTTTTGACGAGAAACAAGAGACGATTAAACGGTCGTCGAACGTTTTCCGCCCGATTGAATTCCGAAAAGTCTCGAGGAGCCCCAATTTCTCGTGAATAAACATTCGATACGACGAACGTTAGATAACGTTAAAGCAAATACATAATGACGCTGTATTTCCGTATCCCGTACACGGGAGGAAATCTCGGCGAGAGAAATGAGAAAAAGAAGGTAATAAGAAATGATATCTCTGTTATCGTAATTCAGGAAATCTCTGTGAATATTCAGCTACATTAAATCTCGGTTGAGCTGAAAGCGATTGAGCGGGCAGAAACCCCCTGCAAGAATCTCTCCGTTCTTGCAATCGAGTTTTCGTTTTGGTCGCCAGGCAACAGAAAACTTAATCACACTAACGGAGTTGTTTCTTTCCCCCTGTGAAAACTTCGACTTCAATTTCACTCGAACTTTCAAGACGAGAAGAATCATGAGAGAATCTCGCGCGGCCGGTTTTAGTTTCCCACCGCCCTTCGTGCCCGAAGAGAACAGCATCTCGTGGCTGTACGACGAGCTCGACAAACACTGGAGACGCTGGCTGCCGGCCGGCGTCTCGCACACCGTTCGCCGCGGCGCGTTCTATTCCGTCCTGGTGCGACCGGGCTTCAGGATCCTCTCGGTCAACATGAATTACTGCAACAACAAGAACTGGTGGCTGCTGATCAACAGCACCGACCCGGTCAGCGAGCTGCAGTGGCTCGTGTACGAGCTGCAGGGCGCCGAGATCAACGGCGAGAAGGTGCACATAATCGGTCACATCCCGCCCGGGCACTCAGACTGCCTCAAGGTCTGGTCGAGGAATTACTACCATATCATCAACCGGTTAGTACTCGGCCGCGAAGCCGCAAATTTGCGTCACGTAAATCCTCAATGGCAGACAGATAGACCAATATTCATAGTCAGATCTTAAATGTAATATACTTAAGACGATCTTAAATATAAGATCTGACTGGGAATATCGGCTCTAGAGCCCCTCGAATGCAGGATCTAGATAATCCGGGCAGATTTTCCACCGGTTTCGAACTGCTTTGAAGCAAAATGGCAGGACTAATGCTATTATATTTCTCCATTTCGAGTACCGCTATACGCGAGAGAAACTAACTAACCAGTTATATACTTTCCGCAAAGCGATAAAATTCGAAAGATTAATGGGTCTAATGATCGATGAAAAAGTTACAGTGTCATTTCTCTACCTCGTAGTGTCTGTGTATTCGCTCCTCTTTATTTATTATCAATTCAACAAGTTTAAATCGTGCAAATTTTCACCTTTTTGCGGCAGAAAAATGTGAGAAATAAATTCCTCGTGTAAGAGAATTCCTACAAAGCGCACATTCAATACAATTTATCGTATAATAGAGTCTCTAGAAGTAAGTGGTAACTATATTTTGCCGATATTTTGCATCAAAGCCACTGATCGCCCAGACTCGGGGGATTTCAAGGGACTCTAGAGCGGCGCTAACTGCGCGACTGACCGATGTCTCTTCTCTCGTTCCCGTTTAGCTACGAATCGACCATCGTGGCCCAGTTCTTCGGGCACACGCACTACGACGAGTTCCAGTTATTCTACGACACGTCGGACCTGGGCAGAGCGCTCAGCATCGCCTACGTCGGGCCCTCGGTCTCGCCTTACTACGATCTCAACCCTGGCTACAGGATATACTACGTGGACGGCGATCACCCGAAGACCACGAGGTTGGTCGTCGACCATGAAACCTGGGTGATGAATCTCAAGGAAGCGAATCTGTACGACTACCCGATCTGGCACAAGATGTACAGCGCGCGGCAGGCCTATCAGATGGCGTCGCTCTTGCCGAGGGACTGGGACTCCCTGATCGATAAGATGACCAACGAGCCGGCCCTCTTCGATCTCTATTACAAGTAATTGGTCGAATTGTCCGCGCGAGGTCGTCATTTCACGAAGGAACGGTTGGAATCGTGGCACGAATTTTATTATCCACGATGATCTAAGATCGAGTTAATGAATTAAAACAGTGAATATAGACGGATAGAAGGCGCGTGATTAGAAGTAGCGCGTTGCTTTGTCGCGGATTTAGGAGAGAAAGGCGAACGGTGAGTTACACTCCTTTATACTTAATGACACGATTTCATGAGGGAACGCGATTGGAACCTTCGCCGAGTTTGTTACTCGCAACGATCGAAAATCGTCGATTTGACTAAAACAATGTGTAGCAAGCAGAGGATTCTCGTGTTCAAAAGCTCGTTTTTCCGCGTCGTTTCGTATTAGGATTACTCCGTCGAACTTGGGCTTGAACGTGTTCGCTTCTGATTGTCGCAGGCATTATTACAAGAACTCGCCGGTGCGACCGGCGTGTAACGACGAGTGTCGCAAGAGGCTGCTGTGCGACCTGCGCAGCGGAAGAAGCCACGACCGGAAGGCTCTGTGTCAGAGCTTGGAATCGCGGATCGACGTCGAGACAAGGACGGGCTGGCGCGCGTGGATCTACAAGGGGCTCGCATTATCGTACGTAAAGGACTTGTGGTTCAGGGTTTACTCCGGCAACACTGAGACTAACGAAGTTGACTAACTCCGGATGGACGGGCCGACGGACGGTTGTGCGATCGTCGCGATCCTGACAACCGAAATTATTCCTTTCTCTTTTCCTCTATCGCTGTCTTTCTCTTCACCTTCCGAGGAAGAACTCACGGCTCTCTGGAGTGCGCGATACGTTCGTAGCAACGCACAACCGGCAGATCTGTTTTATACACCTTGCGCACGATCCCCCCCTCCCAGCAGTAACGTTTATATACTCGCGATAATCCCTTCGAAGCGCACGTGAGAGGTGGTGGAAGTCAGGAGGAGCAGACGTCTCTCACCGATTCACGATAACGCGAAAGCACTTTAACTCCCTGAGGACTGAGTCTAACAAGTGACGATTAGTGTAACAAGAGCCTAATAATAAGAGTCGCCTGTAGAATTGTTGTAGTCGCGAATATAATTAGCACTAGGCGCAAATTAGCGCAAATAACCCCGCTTGATTGCGAGGTGCCGGCTTAATGAGTCTACTTGAGAAACATTAATAATCTGTTGGTTTAATTGCCGACAACAGGTCGTGACTTGACACATCACAGACTGATCGATTGAATATTGGCGTGTTGATGCATTAATTATACTGTATCGGTTGTTAATGCGTATATTAATAACGTATCGATTAACGTACAGGTGGCGCCATGTACGCTGCCATTCCCTAGATTATTCCCTAGATAGACAGTTGCACGATTTTGAGTCTTCCTCATAACGTCTTCCTCATAAAGTTGAAAGTCGCAGAAGTAACTCTATTTGTAATAGCAAGATTATAATAACTCCAACTGTAATAATAAAAAGTTTCAATCTAGGGAACGATACAGCGTACATGATACCGATTGTACGCTCATCGTTTGGTGTGAATAGTGTCAAATAGCCGTATTTCTTTTATATAATACAAAGCGGGCCATATGATTTAGATATTGCGCCGATTTCTTACGGCGTAGTTACGGAGGTTTTTCTCGGTATGAGGTTCATTATTACTTCGCACTGTATTCTAGTTTTAATTCAAGATAAGTTTCTAGTTTTAATTTTTCAAGATGACTTGCTGTCTTCGCGTTTAAAACTGAGCAAACACGAAGACATCAACTTGTTTATTTTATCTGTTTCTTTTATTGTCTGCTGTTGGGCCGACCAGTGTTAACGAGAAGCAATATTATGAATAATGCGAAATATTAAATATATACCATGAATGAAATATTCGCAGGAACAATCGAATCAATCGTGCCGTGTCGGGGAAGTAACTACGGTCCTCCTAAGCAAAACTGTTTTCATCTCCACGAATATTCGATCGCGCGTTTGAAGAACTGATCGTTGCGAGGGATTTTTTAAATTATGTTTCTTTTGCGAAATGCATCTTTCTTCTTTCGCGATATTTTTCTCGCTAGACGTTACAATCTATTTTCTTATTTCCTCGTCTAAACTAACAGCGTGAGCTGAAGGTATATGCTTCTTTTAAATTTACTAATTAACACATTAACGGTGGGCGATCTCGACGAAAGTATGCTAGGTAGCGCGGCGGCCGCCCGCCTCGTTTTTCGGCCTAGAGCGGGCGATATTTTGTGTGATCATAAACTTTAAGGTACAGTCGAGCTAAATCGTATTACTACGACTCCCGCCTTTAAGCCGCAGTCGAGATAAATCGTAGTACTACGACTCCCACCCTTAATGTGTTAATATATCGTGTAAAGTTACATTTTAAGACTGCAGGGAGATCGTATGTTTGATAACACATTTAGCGAACGTTGATTTTACTGCGAGCTCAGTAGTTGGCCCAAGGAAGCCTAACAAGCGGATGTCGACCGATTGCATTTAGTAGTACCTAGGCATCAAATGATGTATCGCTTCACTTAGACTGCATGCGCGCGTGTTGTACACATCGCTCGAGCGAGCTGTCCGCGCTTTTGACGCGAAAGAATTATGCGTGCGAACGGTCGCGTAACACCTGCATGAGAAAGAGGAAGAGAAGGAGACAAAGAGAGAAAGATGGAAGATCCACTAACTCCTTCCCTAACGGTGAGCAATAATGAAGAAGCTGTTCTTCGATTCTTCGTGTGTTTCAGAGGCTTCTTCGCGAAACATGTCGCGTTCTGATTCGCCTCCGATATGCGGGCAACGCGAGCTTCCTCATGTGGCCGTGTTCTCAAAATAAAAAAAAAATAGATACATAAGTGCACACACGCCACGAATAAAATGTCACATGCGGTATTTTAACGCGCGACACACGTGCCTTATATCGTTCGAATAACGTGTATGTTTACACAAATGCGCGGGTACACTTGTATTATATACGTTCTTTCCTAATTTCCGATTTTTTTTCAATAAAAGGAGAGATAAATAGAAAGAAGAGGTGTCGGGACTCGATTCGCGTGATTTGGACGCGGCGCATCCAGGCTCTTCTCACGCTGTAAATATTTTACTTAACCCTAGGACATTAACCTTTAACTCGAGGCCTCTTAACGTCTTGTAGACGTGCAGTGACTAAAAAAGGAAAAAGGGAAACTCAAAGACTTTTTAACGTGACTTATGTATATATTTTTTTCAAAATATAAAAAAGTAATTTTAGGAAGAGGGAGGTTTGTAAAAATTATCTACGCCTCGGAGACGCGCGTTAGTGTTCTAAGGTTAATGCTTCGGCCGATTTCTCAAGGCAACGCGTTGTAATTAGTCGATTGCATCGTCGTTGTTTCGCGACACGCGCACGCGAAAATGCACTTAGAACCTCCCCGAGTCGCGAGTCTCGACGAGGAGCGGAGGAGTTTCAGCTGTGGAGTCGGTCTCGCCTCGCCGGAAGGCGCCAAAGTATAATTTGGGCGTGCATAAGTAAAGTGTGTGTAATCGGTAACCTCGTTTGGTGGCGGAGCGTAACACGGTGATGGAGATTCCTGTCGTCGCACGCTGTAGTAAGTAGTACGAGTGCAAGTTCATAAGCCGATCTTGTATGCACGCGCACTTGAACCGGTCGCATAAATGTCACGGGTCACGCTCGTTGGAAATACTTGACGCAAGGAGCGTTTAACACCGCGTGCGCGCTGCCATTCTCCGACGCGGACTTTAGCAACTGAAGTCGTCCATTGTTGAAGCCGATAACTGGCGATATTGTTGATGGAGAATCATTCATTGATACGAGTCGACCTATCGAGCAATCTCGCGCGGTAAAAAGAGCACGACTACGTTAAAACTAATGGCATGCAATTTATGCGGCTGCTACCGAGTGTGATGTCATCTTAGTCGCCAAATCGTAAGGATAAACGTAACGACGGTCAGCACGGCTGACTATATTAGTCGCTTCACGCGATACATGCTGCCGTTTATCAGCTGCTATGTTAAAACGTATTTTTTACCCATCGTTATCTAGGCAGAAACGCAACAAAACATTCCATTTATCGCAACCCGACTGTTGCGTCCTCCGAGAAACAACGAAAATGGAGGAGTACTCTCGCGACGATAAGATCCGTCCTTCATTTTCTCTCGTCGAGGAGGACGCATAAATTTTGCCATTATGCTTCTTCTTACGCTTTTGACGCGTAAAACGTGGCAGCTAAGATGACAGTACTCGAAGACGCAGGATCTCGTCGTAATCGGATCTTCTCGGATTTTGCAGGATGTCCGTGGTGATGGCCATCCCCAGGTTCGCATACAATCTACCAAAGTACGTCCTAGGACTGGGCTAGAATGCGGAAACGGCTCTGCCCCGCCGAGTGCAAATGTGTGACTCAACTTGTGATGTTAAATTATTGAAAAAATGCGAGCGTCTCAGCGTTTCCCGAAACGCGCGAGCCTCGATGCCGTTGACGACCGGCGAAACGTTACGTTCGTCGAAACTGATTATCGCGTGCTCGCGATCCGTAGAGTCTAACTCGTTAAATCCCCTCCCCCTTTTCTCCCCCCATAAGAAAAAAATAAGATGTGAAAGAAAAAGGACCCTGTGCGAAACGGATCAATTAGGATAGACATCAATGCCCGTTTCTACTATCATAGTTTATCCAATCTAATTGACGGTTAAGTCAACGGAATTAATCGATCGCATTAGCCAATTAACTGGTCAGTGCGATTGGTGCAATTACGTTGAATTAATTGTCGATTAGATTTCCTGATGGTAGAAACAGGCATGATGGGAGAGATCAGGTTCGCCCCGCATCATTCATCTGCCTTTTACCGGTTGGCCCGATCAGTAAGTGTAGTGACTTATCATTTTCGATAAATCATGTATAATTCTCAGGTGCATATATAAGGATCTGAGGAAATGTCAGGTAAAGACGAGGACTTCGCGATATCTTCGTTGAGTCGTGCTCAACATCAGGGATGACTTGGAACCGCGCCTTTTCCTCGTAGCGGGGAAGCACGCTCGCGAGGCGCCGGGTGCTTTAGTATTCTCTCCGACGCGACGCGCGCGTTGTGTAAAATATGTAAATACAAGCGATTATTCTAATCGCGCGGGTCGATGTGGAAAGCAATCATTTTGTTGTTTCTCTCTTGTTAGTGTTGACGAGCGACCGATTAGTTGTTGATCAACAGCACGTACTTGAGCGCCATGCCATTCCGCTTAACATACGCGCGTCCGGTATTTGCGTCCCGCATTTTTATTATGTTATAATATATTATTCAATGGTCGACTCATTGTTCGATGGACGATTCAATGTACGATTGAAGGATTCGGTATAAAAAGCCGGTTAACTCCATTTGAGAAATAAAATATGTTTTTATTCAAATAATTGTTACAGTTCGAAAGTCACGAACGCGTTCCCTGTGTTCCTAAATACTTCGACTAATTTGCGACCTAGTCCGGAATGCAGATTGACGATCGCTGATGACTACTCCTTAGTATAATAGTGCGCAGTTTGTTATCAGAGTAGACTAACAAAAAAACGCCGAATGAAATGGTTAAAATTCAACAAATGCGAATCGTTACAAAAAATGGTCACAAATCATGACGGTGATACTGACCAGAACGCAAACAAAGAATATTTATAAGAATGACTCACCATTCGGATTACGTTTTAAGAAGATCGAAAGGTATACAAGTAATAAATACAATCATAGAGAATAAAGATCATATAACGTCGAATTTTCTGTACATATATCGAGAGAAAAACAACCTTATTTATTCACAAGCGGTTGTGTTCGAACCGACATTGTTATTCTGTATTAAACATATTTTGATATATTTAGAGACCATTAATCTCCATTTTTCTTTTCTATAATCCTACAATCCTCCTCTCATGTTTTAAACAATTATGAATACATATTTATGAGTAATAACGAGTTACACTTAATGAAATGTTCTACGTCTGAGAATATTATTTTTTATGTAAATTTCACAATTATGTGCTATATCTTATCCTCCCAACATATCGCAGTAAACTGATGACGATATCAATACCCAACACTTATAAACGCAAAGTGTCAAAGATAATCAATTTAAGTTACAAAGACTTGTATGTTAGAAATTGATTTGTACGTTTCTCTAACGAAAATCTTTCGTAATAGCCTAAGACTATATCTTATCTATATACCAGCCTAATTGCTATATCGTACCTTGAATCCAATGAATCACCACAGACTGATGATAGTATTAAATATCTAGCGTGAAGGGTTAGGAATAGTCAATTTAAGTCACTATAATTTCGCATATTAGAAGCGAACTGTCGACATATATGATTTCCCGGTGAAAAAATGTCATTCTAGCTTATGGTTTATTAGACAACATTCGTATCGATATCGTAATTTATGTCTACATGACAAGTATGAAACCAGTTTGATAATTCGCTAAGTTACGACACCACTAGATGTCCATTACATGTCGCATACACATTAATAACGCAATTGTTTCTACAACATGTAACACAAATAGTTGCAATATCAGGAATGATTAAATTGATATTTTTCGTTTACATTATTCGTGTCAACTTAGATCGCAGGTTATACTAAATTAGATTTATACTACCGTTTAAATCGGCATTCATAGTAGCAGTTAATGTATATAACGCACAAGAAAATTAATATAAATGATTAGAGGGTGTCAAATATTCTTTAAATATAATAACACATTTTATTAAACGATAATTTTTAAATACAACATACATATATAACTAATATAATTTACGATAAAACAAAGTATATATAAATATCTTCTATTAAAAAACTTGTAACATTTATATAATCATATGAAATTACATGATACATCAAGTATGTTTATATTACGCACATCTATATATATAGAAATATGAATATATGTATATGTGTGTCTAATATTTTTAAACGTATTATGTACACATATACTTGGATATACGCGATGTTTTCTAAATTTTCATTAAAAATAATAATTTGTATGTATTATATAGATATGAATAGTTGGCCCAAATACATGAGAAGTTGTGAATTTTTCCGTTTCGACCGACTTTCGTGCCATTTGATCTTCTCTGTTTTAAAATTCGGAAAACTTCTTGCGTAGTTTGCTCAAGTGATTCCATCGTGCCTTTATTATTTTTTGTATTTCTTTTTGTTTTCGTGAATTTTTTCTGTTTATATTCTCTGATTTTTCTACTACCTGAAGCACATAAGTTTGAAATATTTGCTATGAATAATAAATTAGTGAGATGGTGTGATAAAAATCGGCAACGCCATAATTTATTGTATTCGCTTCACCATAAAACGAATTATTTCACATATATGAAATATGTATAGAAAACCTGAATTAATAATGAAACGTAAATAATTAAGTAGGCAAGATGTAGCCGTAAAATTTACCAGTTTTCTTTGTTGTTTGTCATAAATAGACCATATTATATCACCCCATAGGATCAACGTATCATTTTGATAAAATCTGTAAGTGTAAATGACAATAAATTTATCACAAGTACACGCAATCGATCTGATGATTTATCACAAACTACAGATTCGCAATTAGACGAATTACCTGTTTACTATATCCTTAAAGTACACTAGAGCATAATCAAACACGGATTCCTTCGCCAAATTTCTCGTTAGAGTAAAACGATAATGTTTAACAAGCTGTTCGTATTCCATTAAATTATTTGTTTGATTGTTTGTCCTAAGAAAATCCATGTAGTTTATAAGGAGATCGCTACGATCAGTACACGCCAAATATTTGAATTTGGATACGTCCGATGATTGAATGCTTTCGACTAGGATCTGTTGCCAAATGGTTTTGTTTAGATGCATCATACCAGTACAGTATACCCATTCATTCCACCATGGCAAAATTCTACAAAAGACATAAAATAAAGTGAAAGGAATTGCATAATATAAATAAGACTAGTATACAAATTTCGTAAAAAGTATTACTCGATCGTCGGAGAAGAGAGTTTCGTGTACAATTTATTACTTGCAGCTATCCTGCACTCACTATGACCGAGTTCACAGAACCACTTTGCCGCTAATAATCTTAACGATTTCGTCATTCCATCATCCTCAGGATGTTCCTCGTACCCTATATTGTTAAGCAGACCACCCAATATGCCTGATATCCTTAACTGCGATTCATGAAATAATATTAATCGCTCATTATTACGTTGCAACTCCAAAGGCATAAGTGTGCGAATGCTACACGCGTTGCTCGAGTATTACCATATATATATATTCTCTGCTGTTTCCAATCACCGTCTATCGAAAATATTCACTGCTTAATTACGCGATGCAATTCGCTGGCACTTACCTTTATCCTTTTACTCGCGGAAGTCTTCAAATAAGCGGACATGTACGACAGAATGTTGAACATGGGATACCATGGCACGTAGTGCGTCTCTCGTTGTAGATATTCGATAATATGGAAAAAATACGTCTTATGGAGATTACCCGTTATCGCAAAGTAGTATGCGTCGTCGATCAGTTGAGCTCGATTTTGCACAGGAATGCATGTGTGATTGCTGTATTGTAGATAAGATCCAACTCTTCGCCAATTTTTATTGTCATAATTAATCCGATAGTATCCTATCATATAACATAATAGTCTAATTATTAACATTAGTCCAATTAATATATTGACTGTCGTGTTGATTTCCGTATTGCTTACCAACTTGGTGCACGTTGCCTATAATAAATGGCCATTCTTGCTTAGAAGTTATTTTTGCACCATTACATTGTCGCCAATTAATTTTCACAACATTCCGGATACAATGAGCTTTCGATGGTGCAAGGAAGCTCATAGGTATGTACAATTTAGTGTCGTTTTCGCAACTTGCTTTGGTATTCACTGTCTTGCCATCATAAGTAACGTACAGCTCAGGATAACGTTTTACCTGTGCCCAGCCATGTATTATGTCTTGAATAGAAGGGTGTGATTGCTCTTCCACAGTGTCTCTACCTTGCATAATTTCCCAGAAATCTTCACCATCAGCTTGGCGCGCACTAGATTGTTAAAATTTAATATAGACGATAATGCGCCAATTGTATAAATGGATTGTAGAATTTAAATCAGAAGATACATCAATTACTTCGCTTATCTGCCTATAAATTTATATAATTTAATAGGAGACGGAGATTCTCTCGGATGTTCTCAAAAGTTTGGTGCAACCGAAAACTGTGATCAATGCATGTTGCAATATAATAATAAAGAACATCATTTATCGAATACACCCTGATCAATTTCAATAGAATGTGAGTTTAATTTTTTACGGATATTAAAAATATCCGTATAAAGTATGAAGGCATACTCAATAGTTTAGTAGGATATATCAGAAAAGAGCAATGTAATGGATGAGGTTGTATCCTCACATCGAGTTACTTACGATTCCGTCACATATTTCTTGATGCGCTTTTCAAATTTTTTCGAGGCAATATGTTTCCACATGCGCAGAAAAACGGAGCCTGTAGTGACACACGCGTGATGCAGCTTGAACATTCAGCTCAGTTTATTTTCATAATATTTCACATACACAAATACATATTCATCAGAGAATTCCTCTCGAGAACACTCGTGAAATCGACTTTCTTATATGGATTTCATCTCAATTGTGGATGTTGTCATCCACAATTGGGTTCGAATGACTTACCAGTAAACACCATCTAATAGTAACAACAATGTTATAATTTTCTACTCAATAATATAATTGTTATATACAACTACGTTGTTGAGTGAGAAATTATAACATTAATGCGGTGTTACTGTTAGTTGATGTTTGCTGGGATTAAACGAAAGATTGTTTGACTATATTCACTCACCTTTGTAGCGATAGAAACGAGAGAAAAGAACCGTATCAATGTCATCGGCGTTAATAATTTCACGTGCGACAGGTTTCATTTGTAGAACGTTATCATAATAGAGAGCTGGTTGTAGAATTTGGACTACGAAAAGTTCCTCCAACTGTTGGCGGTAGTAAGACTGGAAATAACAGTTGTTATAATTACACTGTTATCATATAAAGAATTGTGTTGCGATAGAATAATTAGATGAAATTTCTCTGCTGCAGGGAGCGTTGGCAATGTTTTCAGAATTTTTATTATATCAAATTATTTTAATTGCAAAAACAATCTGCAAATGTGCGCATTTACGAATTATTAGTACTAAGACTGCAATACTACCTCGTTTGAAAAGAAATAACTAAAGTACGTCCCAAATGATTCAATCATCCACTTGTTAGACCACGACGACAGAGGAATAATTTGACGGAACAAATGACGTGCCATTTGACTGGCGATTATCTTTTCGATATTTAATTCAACACCAATGAAATCGGACGTTTCATCATAGGCAATATCACGTTCTCTGAAAATATTTAATTAATGTTATAATCTGCGGCATTTGCACAGTTCGAATGCATAATAATGTTGCTATTCCATTCACACACATATATGTGTATGTGTGCAGCCGTTGGAACATAAAATTTAGCGTTACCATATATTACATATTTAAAAATGTCAACTTCATAAGAAAGTATCAAATATAAAGTTTCAAACATTGAAATAAAATTGTTCTATTATGTAATGTATCTGTATTCGTTTTAATATTCTATGTTCATTGCATACGTGTACGCTCTTTTTATGTACGCTTACTAATGCATATAATATAAACGCAAATAATCTTTACATAACAGGTTCCTACGATTGCGTGTGCTTTTTTGTGACATTTTAGCTATGTGTGTGCTGTATACCTGTATATTACGAGATTATTCGATCCGGCGGTTTGCATTGGACTATTCGGAATCACGATATGCTCCATTTTCGGAATTTGGAACACATTTGCGTACTGGATTAAGGACATCCTTTGTAAAACAGCTGTAAAATGGGCGAAATTAAGTTTACGTTCCGATTCTTTATAATACCACATGGTATCCGTCACAATTTCAGAGAAATGAGTCATATCCTTATCGATCATAATAATCTTCACTTCAGAGGCAGTTATCAAGGAACTAGGCATAAAATGTGTCCAATTAAATGTGTCAATTGCTGCTGACTCTATTCTTTTCAACATATTTGATATGATCATGTGTCGCATAGGATGCATCACAGAGAGGTTGAAAGTTGCCTTTATTCCTGATTCATCCCAACATGGAAACAATCTCCGGGCCGCGAATGGTTCAAATACATTCGTGAACAACCACCTATCGCATTTCAACGTATCTTTGAGAATGTAAAATTTTCAGTGAATATATAACATAAATTTGTTAGTTAGTTAGTTAGTTAGTTAGTTATTTAGTTAGTTAGTTAGTTATTTTTGTTGATGTACATCTACAAAAATGATTAAAAAATTCCGTTTTGCAATGACGCATCGCATTTTACTATATTTAATGCGACATATATTTTCATTTTGTAAACCTTTTCTGGCGTGTCGTGAACACAACAATGTCATAAATAGATAATCGACAGTAAAAACATGGAATAGTGCACAATTTGCTTACCTTTGTGTCTTTGCACCTTCAATGGACTCATATTGATAAAGGCCTTTATATTCGTTGTGTTTAAGAGATACAAGGAAATTCAATTTCAAATGATAAAGTCCAGGCCATATATCATCCTCAAAATGCAGGTCCAACATCTGCGATATTTTACAGTAACGATATCCTACTGGGATATATGTTTTTACGTATTCTGGCGATTCATCTATCGTCACGAGTTGTATCTGATTCAAGACCATTTGTATTTTGTAGGCTTGTAAACGTATGCTTTCTGTTCGATAATGAATATGGATGAAGATAACGCATGTGCCGATGATCGAATCGTAATTTGGACTGATAATGAATTTAATGTCATAGTTCTTTAGTTTCATTATATCGAGCGGTAAACGATCTACAGTTGTAGCCGATACACAATCTCCGATATTCTCAGTAGTGGTGAGTTTGCTGAAAGAAGAAATTGCTCTAACGACAGTAAACATCAAAGTGAGACTTAGTAGTAGCTTTAAGCATATCGTGCCCATTTTTCTTTGATTAATACCAGTATATCCATTTGTTTTTTGCTGAAAAGAAAATTAAATATAAATAAATAAATATATATATAATTATCTTAATTTTTTTTTAATTAATATTTATTACATAGTTAAATAAAGTTATAGGAAAATTTTGTTTTTCAATAAATAATAAACTTATGTTGGAACCTCTTAATATCACTCCTGAAAATCCGGCACTCTGCGGACCAACTACCTGAAGAATATGAAGAGGAATGGAAACAACAATAACCGGTAAATAAATTGAAGAGCACCTTGAAAGTTCAGATGGATTAAACAAATGGACTTTTTGGAGATGTGACATTAAACCTGCCCAGTAAGCAAGAATCATTAATACAACACTTTTACAATGATATATTTTAGAATATTTTCAAATACGTAGTTCTTAATATTATATACACAACAACATTGTTAGCAATATTTGACCCAAATATTAAGAATAATATTTCTACATTATGATTAATATTTAAAAATATTATATTATCAAATAACGTTTTAAAAACGCTTATGAAATATTATGCCAAAATATTGATAAAATCCACATAAAATCAATGTTTCAAAAGATTGATTTAATGTTTCTTGCTTGTTGAGTGCTTATCGCACAATTCAGAAAGCAAAGTTTTGAAATTCCACATAACTCTTCCGAATGTCTGTTATAAACAATAATACATCTGGTTGGCGTGGGATAATTTTTCGCCAAAGAAATGAAGGAACAATAGGCTATTTGTTAACAATCAAATACGCGAGTTCAAACAAATATAATGTTGAATATTTGATGAGAAATAAGAACGATTCCTTTCTCAAAGTTACTTTTACGTTGCTTATCACGATCGTCCCTCATTTTGAGCACTCGAGAGTATATTTCTTAGTAATAATAAGTTACATTTATAACGCTGTTTTATGTGTGAGAGTTTATGTTACGCACAAATCACAATTGCTATATCTTACCTTTCCAACGAATCACCGTAGACTGATGATAATATCAATATTTAGCGTCGTTATAAGCGCCAAGTATCAGGGATAGTCAATTTAGGTCAATATAGTTTCGCTTGTTAGAAGTGAGCTGTCGACATATATGTTTCCCCGATGAAAGAATATCATACTAGCTTATGGCTTATTTGACAACATTCGTATCGACATCGTAGTCTACATGAGAAGTGTGAAACCAGTTTGATAATTTGCCAAGTTATGATATCGCTAATATTACATGTCGCATACACATTAGTAACGCAATTGTTTCTACAACATGTAACACCAGTAGTTGCAATATCCGGAATTATATGGAGCATTGGAGTAATTATTTACTTGAATCTAGCTTCTTCAAAACGAAGACGAGCTCTAACTTCAAGCTTTGTAAATGATGACTCTCTGCACGGGTCGCAGATAGGAAGAACCATTGCGCCGAATACTTGTTGCATTTCCAAAAACAAAGAGTCGTCATTTCAGCTAAAGACAATCACATCTGCGTCTTGTCCTAATTTCTCGTACCAATGCGAAAAGCTCGAGTAAAGGAAAGACCAGTAGTGACATGGGCAACGTCGGTGACACGACACGCTATCTCACACACAAGAGAGCGGATAACTTTGTATTTATTTATTTTTACTCAAATGGAAGGCAATCGATAAATTCGCGCGCAACAAATAAAAATAAATAACACTCTCTCTAGCAATAATTACGTGATCGTTACTTAAGAGTATATCATTACAATAAATTCAATGATACTTAACAAAAAGAGAAAATCTTATGTATATATACCACCTCCTCGCAATGCGCATACAAAATGTGTGTTCGCGTGCGACACGCTACCGCATCCTTCTCTCCACCGTTATATCCTCCCGATGCAGCAATCGCGGTTATATACTCGACAAAAAGCTCCTCTGTATGTATATATTTATATATGTATAATATACGCGATTGTGGTTTACGTGCTTTGTTACACTATACTTGGCCGCGTTTACTTCGTTCTGGCCCGCTTCCGTACAAATTACAAGGGCTCACTGCACACACGCATACAAAACACGCACATACACACATACTCTCTCTTTCTCGCTCTTTCTCACGTATACACACACACACGCACACATCGCAGTATACATGACAGACTATCGAATTCGTACAGCCTGACGGATAAGATCGATCATGGGCAGAATCGTGATTAACGACGCGAAACAATTGCTCAAATAGTTACGGGATTGCAACGTCGAGCGGTGTTCTGTCTCGCTGCGACACATCCGGCGAATAAAGTACGGGCGCGTCGCTGGCGCGTTTCTCATGATGATCCGCTCGAGTTACGACCGTACGACCGTCCATCTCGTTTAACTCTAAATAAATTCGTCGCGTCAAGCTCGCTACTGCACAACGCGTACATCCATACACACACGCGCACACGCATACACACACGCACTCTCTATTTCTCTGGATCCTTCTCCCTTCATTCCTAATATTATACAATATTTTACAGAACAATAAAATCCCCTTTATTGTCATGGCAACGGATGGTGACACGTGCGATGATTTTTCCTAATGATGATGACGAGGAACACTCTACTATCCTTTTTGGCACCTTTGTTTCTCACCCCATGACGACACCATGTTCCGTTTCTTATCGCGACAGTTCGCACTCGCGAGTTCTTTTTAGGACGCATTCGTCGTTCCCGAGAATTCTTTTATTCTCCTCCCGAGTTCCTTCATGCGAAAATCACAATCTTGAAATTCCTCAATTTCGAATTAACTATTTATCGAAGTGTTCTCGCAACCTCTTTGAAAGTTAACTCTCTCTCTCTCTCTCTCTCTCTCTCTCTCTCTCTTTCTTTCGCGTCTCTAACTTTACGTTTCAGAAAGATGTTTGCCTGTCAATCTTCAACTTACGATTTGGACCAGCTGAACGACGTTAAGAGAGAAAATAAAACAGTCCCTCTGGAGTTTTGCACGAAGAAAAGGAAGATTCTCGCTTAGAAAGATCAGCCGATTCGGGATTAAGGGAAAACACAACTCGGACGCGATGCTTTAAATGCAAGTATTAATTGATGCGGTTACGAAGCGATCACCGTTGCGACTGCGAATCGATCAGAGTGGTAGAATGGCAAGAGGAGCCGCTCGCTGCGAAAATAACATATCAGCGGTTTGACATTCCAGGTATCCGTTTATTCGCCGAACGGCGAGCGGAACTGTCGCGTCGCGTTTGTCCGCCGGCGCGGATAAGACTCGCGCGAGTCACGATATTCGCGTGAGCTCGACGATTTTGTCTCTCCCCTCGGCCCGTCAGGAAGGAAAACGCGTTTGCGCGACCGACTCCGAGAGAAAGAGAGGGAAAATATGTAAGAGAGAGAGAGAGAGAGAGAGAGAGAGACGGGGTGGCAGAGAGACCGGTTCCTTCAATTAAATGCACTGAGTTCCGGCTTAATTACTCCCCGCGCGCGCGTTCCGACGAATTCGGCCGCGCTCCACGTTTCTCGCTCACTTCGCCTCATCTCTAATTATCGTCAACGCTCGCGCACACGGAACATGGCAGTGCCACGGGGTCCTCGGATTTCTCCGCGGAGCGTGAATATGGAGTTTGGAATGTTGCGTCTATCTTTTTTCTTCTCTTATTTTCACTTTCTTCTTTTTTTATTTCCTTTTGCTGCTTTACCGATGAGTTCCGGGGGCGGGGAGGGGAAATGATGATTCGAGGGGCCAATGTGTGCCGTTTTCGCTAACGAGACTGCGGTGTGACACGCTAATTTCCTCTCACTCGGGTATTTCAGATACAGCTTCACACTTCTTTTTCACACACACACACACACACACACTCTCTCTCTCTCTCTCTCTCACACACACATCTCGCTCTTTTCCTCGTCTTTCGCTCTTTCTCTCTGTCTCTCTCACGCACTCTCTTTCTCTGTCTTCGCACGACGAGTTCCGCGCGGAACCGGATACTCGCCGGGGATACTCGGTGTATTTCGAGGCACGTCGGTCGCGAGGAGAAGAATTCGGAACGTTATGGCGCAGAGAAGCCTCCCGTAAGACGCACACAGGCCGCGTTTTGCGTTTCTCCGCGGGAGAATCGGTCGCCGTGTGCACTGGGGTTTCGCGTGATTATTAGCACCATCGCCGTCCACGAACGTTGTGACACGCAATCGCACGCATTCGCGCGTAAGAGAACCCGAGAGATCCGACGAGACGAAGCGCCGGCTTCGTTCGTCGTCAGATCGTAGCGGGATATAGATAGGGTAGAGGGTGAAGAGAGTGGAATTCCAAACCGGGTGTCTCGGAGTAGAGAAGAATAAAATGCCTGACAGAGCCTAAAATAGCCTAAAATATCAAAATAATTTCGCCTTGCCGAGAGAAGTATAGTATTTGTAGTTTTTGAGTAAACTAGAAGAGACCGATAACAGCCGGCGCTGATGATTGGTTGGCGAGATTTAAAAAATTCTTTAACTTGCAAAATCCATGAATCAATGTTTAAACGTGTCGGTTTCAACCCTCCTCAGTGAGAACTACTGACTCAAGCGAATCGAAACGTTTGGACATCAGATTCATCGATTTCATGAGTCAAACAATTTTTTTTAATTTCGCGACTAATTAACGTCGGCTCTTATTACTGACATCTTCCAATTATTCAAGGATCGTACACCCCGAGAGCTTGACTTACACATTACTTTATTGTTATTTGTCATTTTCGGCGTACTTTCGCGTCGCTCCGCCCGACAAGCGTGTACAAATTGATCACAATTATGATTTTCCCACGTTGTGATTAATCCGAGGTTCTCTTACGCTTTTGCTCGTTCTCTCTCTCTCTCTCTCCTCCCCTCTCTCTCTCTTTCTCTCTCACTCTCTCTCTCACAGGCAAAGCATTCGTGCTCTTCGAAATACCTTCGCGCACTTTACGCACGTACATGCATCCTTGCTCTCTCTCTCTCTCTCTCTCTCTCTCTCTCTCTCTCTCTTTCTCTCTCATGCTCGCGTTACCGAGTACGGCGGCGCGGTCCTTCGTCGTTACGTCGACGCGCGAAGCCGCTTGGTCTCCGAAGAACGTCTCGGAGGAATGCAAGCCTTGGACACGATATGCTCCGAGACGAATCCTTCGACGTTAGCGCGATCGCCCGTGCGACGTGCGTTACGGTGCGGCTCGCGACTTCGCGTGACTTCGATCTCGTTTTATCTCTCTCTCTCTCTTTCTCTCTCTCTCTCTCTTTCGCTCTCTTGCTCTGTCTCGCTTTTTTTCTCGTTCGCACACAGTTTGTAAACATGGAATGTCACGAAACAACGAAAAGATTAGTCGTTGGGAAGGGTCGAAGGACCGCGCCGTGTCGCGAAACTCGGCGACTCGCAGCTAACTCGCTCGCTCGCTCGCTCAGGCGCGCAGCCGTCTCCACCACGTCGATACTCCTCTAATGATTACTTGATTAAAATACGCATAATTCCTAACATCACATGCTCTGGCTTAGAAAATATGTGTAGCTGCGCTGGAAGGTCCTCGAACTCGCGTATCCGAACGTACACTCGACTCGCAGACGTCAGGCGCATAGAAGTATTTTTTTCTCCCTTCCTTTACACATGTGTAATATGTATATGCGTGTGTAAATATATATATATATATATATATATATATATATATNATATTAGATTCTCGTAATTATATTATGCGTGCAAATTATGCGGTTACATTACGATTGGGTTACGATTGAGTTGGGTTCGCAAGGGGGATGAAGAAGACATGGGTGAGGACACTGTGATGGTGAAGGCGAGGGGGTTGGGTGGGTGGAGGGGAGCGAGAGGGTGATTATCCGAGAAGATCGTGTTACACGCGATGTTTTCTTGTCGCCTGCTTCGGCACACACGCTACTTTTTCGCGATTATTAAAACTCAAGCAACACACGGACGGGACTGGACAGTAAAAACTAGCTTAAAAAACGTCGTAAGCTGACTCTTTGGAGAATTTTGAAAATGTCGCAGAGTTGATTGCTCGGTCCCGGGGCGGTCGTCCTGTTCTCCGGTTCTCGCACGAGCGCCCGTCGCATCCGTTGACGCCCCGATCCGCTGGGATCGAGACTCGTTAAGAACGCGCGCGAGAAGAGAACGCTCGAGAAAGAGAGAGAGAGAGAGAAACACAGAGAGGCCTGCGCGGCCTCGAGCTCTCTCTCTCGAGTTCATCGTCGGTTTTACTTTTCTCGCGGAACGACCAGCAGTCGTGCCGACTGGAAGGACGACGCGCGTTAGTATTCGTTATGATCGAGGAAGACCGTTGTAGAACGCGCACGCGCTTTAAACACCATGAGCGCTGGTCCGTCTTACACGTCCTCCCGTACTCTTCTCAACTGTTAATCCCGATTACTTCGCTCGCTCGCTTGCGCGCATGCGAGCGTGAACTACCTATTTCTAATATTTCTCCAATCGACAGGTTCGATCACGCGTACGCTCTGAAGAAACTCAACCTGTAAAAAGCTAACTGCTCGCTTGGGCGCGCGCGTATAAGTACACATTCGATGTAACGTCGATGATACGCCCGTTACAAGAGATACACGAGGGGGAGGGGCGGGCAAGGTTGTCGCGAGACGGTTTGTCAAATGCACCGGACAGACCAGTGACGATACGATGGCCTCCACTGTCTGTCTCTCATTCTCTCTTTTTGTCTCTGTCTCTTTTTCTCTCTCTCTCTCTCTCTCTCTCTCTCTCTCTTTCTCTCTCTGTATGTGTGTATGTGTATTTTGCTCACTATCTCTCTCTTTCTTGCGAATATACTTGTTTGATTACCTTCTCGAATTAAGTACACAACGCCGGATTCCGAGAGAATATTTCGGGCTAGGTCGCGAAGTCCACCTTGTCCCAGGTCATTGGTAAATCCGACGACATCTTGAAGTCGGAGTCCTCCATGTTGAAGAGATCAAAGGGGTATTGACTGCTGCCCAACAGCGGATCGTAGATATCCGTGGCGGACGAGAGACTGATCGACGGGGTGGACTGATGGTTGGACAAGACCGTGGAGACGGGCGGCGATTGCGGCATCAAGGAGTCCAGCCAGTCGGGATCGTCCATGTCCATCGGCATGTCCCCGATATCCATCAGTTCCTGAGGGGTTTCCATCTTGATTCCTAGGTCGCAGTCCAACTGGCCGAAGTCCATCGGGTCCAAGGTCTCCAGGTCCAGTCCTAATTCCTGAAAGAATATTCACTCCCTAAGAATCGCGCGACAATTTCACCCGCGAAAAATTCACGTTCCTCGACTCCCTCAAAAATCAATCGCGAAGAATTCGAATTTATATGACGTAATTGTGTCTCGTTTTATCTCGACTGACACGCAAATTGTGCGATTTTTATATTTCCATTTGATAATATTTCTTCACAACGTCTCAACAATCATCCAACTTTCGACGAATCCCTCCTCCCCGCAAACTTACCTTGAGATCTAAATTCGCGTTGTCCGACGAGGTCACCTCCTGCGGCGGCTGCGGGTCCGGAGACGATTGCTGAACCGACTGCGGACTGAGCAACATGGCGGCGTCCAACTCGGCCTCGGAGGTCAACAGATCCGTGCTGAAGGACGAGATCTCCTCCTGCTGTTGCTGCTGCTGCAGAGGCTGCAGCGCGGTGGGTAACTGAATGGAGAACGTCGCCAGAGGTAAGGGCGGTGGCGGCGGCGGCGGTGCCGGCGTCGACGGGCTCGGGCAGGTGCTCTGAGACACTTCCATCGGTATCGGACTGATCGGGCTTATCGGGCTCGCGGCCGTGAAGACGAGGGACTGTGTCGGACTGTCCGCCGGCGCCGTGAACACCAGGTTCTGCTGCAGCTGGCGGTTCGGAGTCGTAGGAGTGGCCGGGTCCTGCGCGGCGCTCGGCGGCAGCTCGCCGTTCTTGATGAGGATCTCGAGCACGTCGTCGACCACTTGGCTTTTTATGTGGCTCTTTTGAACCGGCTCGATTTTCACCTGCGCATACGATCAGATTGCCGGTGAGCAAGACAATAAGAGTTGTCGTTGAATGTCGGGCACGATAATTGAAATCGCAGCAGGAGGATGAAATATTGTTATACCGTCGGACATCGGGTTCTTCATTTTAGTTGTTTAATTTTAGAGCCATCAGTATTCTTGTACGATTAACACTTAGACTGTTTCCAGTTAGTTTCGAGCGTGATGTCTACGAAGCAAAAGTCACAACGCGCACAACTGTATATACAGTCAGAATACAAATGCGTATTCCATATCTCATGTGTTATCTGATGTAATTTAATGTTACTTAATGTAAATACTCTTGAGAAACTTGATGTAATAACACGAATGCGTAAATTGCTTTCGGAAATATCACGAAAAATATACGGAATTTGATCGTTTTGTAACAAACATATAATGTTAATTTTGTTCTTTAACATTGATATATATCACGTACAAATGATATTTTATTGTTTTCACACATTCAATATCTTCATAAATAATTCGGAAAATTATTCCAATTTCCGTTATTAAAACCGTCATCCCCATATACTCTCTAAGTGTTAAATAAATGACCTTATGCTCTCCACATTTTTCGGAGTGGACTCTCATTCAAAACAAGTAAACATTCACTGGAAGCGACGGTGAAAAGACCGCCGCTCGCAAGAGTGAATGTTAAGTGCAAAGTCAAAGTGAATTCTTAATCCGCACGGTATTCCGCAAATGGTATTCCTGTAACGGTGGAATACGTCAAAGTTCATCCTTCAAGTTCGAGCGAAAGTGTTCACTCGGCGATTCAGAATGAAGAATTCACTCCATATAGATGACAGATCGCTTCCACTCGAGTGACTCAGTCCACTTTTCGAATAGAATTTCACTCCGAGAAATTTAGAGAGCGGAATATATGCATGTAACATGTGTTACGTACTATGTGTGTTTATTATTACAATTGTTACAAAATTCGCAGTGACACGACGAGAAGCAGGATCGCCTACCTTCAGCAATTTCGCGGCTTCGTCGTACTGCGGCGGCGGCGGTTTGCTGTCCTCAGTGGTGGTGGTGGCCGTCTGTTGCTGTTGCTGTTGAGCTTGCGCCTGTGCCATGAGGGCGCCGAGCAACGAGCCGTTCAGCTTGGTCGGCTTCGCCAAGTTCAAGACGATGGCCGTGGGTATCTGGACGGTGGTGCTGTTCTTCGACTGGTTCTTCTTGTTGTTAATCGCCGTGAGAGTCGCGGAATCGAGAATGGCGGTCGTGTTGTTCGGCTGGGCCTGCAGGAAAGCCGCGAGACTCGCTTTCGCGTTGAGTTGCTGAAACGTGGCGTGCTGCTGCGTCTGTTGATGCGACTGCTGATGGTTCTGCTGCTGCTGCTGTTGCTGCTGCTGTTGCTGCTGCTGCTGCTGCTGCAGGTGCTGAAGCTGCTGCAAGTGCAGAGCCAGCTGTTGCTGCTGCATCTTGTTCTGTATGTGTTGCTGGAGCACCAGCTTCTCGGCGCGCACCGTGGCCGGCTGGGTCTGGCGAATCTGCTGCAGCTGCTGCTGCGATTTGTATAGTTCGCGCTGCAACTCCTCTATCCGTTTCCTCTGTTCCTTGATGATATCATCACCTGAAACACGAACTATGTCGTAAAAACACCCACGTGTGTGGTCTCTCTCTCTCTCTCTCTCTCTCTCTGTCTCTTTCTCTCTCGAAGAATCGACGATAACTCGCTCGAAGGTCTCATCGTCTCTTTCGTGCGCGCACGTGCGCGCACCGAACAACGAGGTCGCGCGCTCAACCCAACGAGGTGTATTATCGGGACGAAGTTTTACCTGGTGGACTCGACGGGTCGTCGTGCTCGCTGCTGTGAGGCGAGGCCGTGCGCGGGCTGTTCGGCTCGTCTTTCACGGTGGAGCTCGGACTCTTGGCCTGCGAGCTGGACTCGTCCGTCGTCACCGGGCCGGGCGTATCCATCAGGATGTGGCCCATGTGCGTGACATGCGGCCCGTTGGAAATCGAGTTGCCGCTGGACGACTCGGTGAAGGGCTTCAGTCGCTCAATCAGCTGCGGCTTCGAGCCCGACACCGGCAGGTTCCGTCGCTTCAGCTCCACCTTGAGGTCGCTCACTGCGAACCGCGCGAACGGCAAAGTTACTTTTTTCCCCGCTTCTCTCTCTCTCTCTCTCTCTCTCTTTCGCGGCGAACCACGTGTGACAAGTACTGCGACGAGGTTCCAACGTACCTTTCATGTCCTCCAGCTTGCCCAGAGGCCTCAACGGAGGCTGCTCTGACGGATTGTTCGAGGAATTCGAGGGTGCCGGGCTGGCGGCGTTCGCGCTGCTCCCGCTCACGCTACCGGCGTCGCTCGCGCCGCTGCTTGTGAGCGACAGCGGCTTCTGCGCTGCCGGCAAGATGATCTGTGGATACTAAGGAGGAAGCAGAAAAGGCGAGGCCCTTCAATCTCGTGTCTCTCTCACGGTGGGACATTTCGCGTCGAACGTGTGACAGGGCGAAATCAACGTGACGTGACGGGAACACTCGAGGAACGGTATCGTTACACTGATTGATCCAATTAACACGTTGATCGCCACGGGGCTCACCAGCGAGAGCGATGCTGTGATCTCTCGTCGCGTCTCATTAATTCACGCGCAAAGCGGAACTAATTGCACCCGACGAATTCAATATGTGGCCAATATAGGAAGCTGAGGAAATTAGCTAACGGACATGCACGTTGGAAAATGTATTCACCGTGAGATTCGATCGTTCCAATTTTCATTGAGCTTCGGAACAATCCACTAAAGTTAATATGGCGGTCAACGTGTTAATTTAGATACACACGAGAGTAAGAAAAAATTGAAAAGATATAATAAGGAAATATAGTGGAAAAATAGCACACTCTCTGTTGCGAAAAATAGAGAAAATACAAAACCAAGAAGAATAGAAAAACAGTAAAGGTACGGAGTTCGTTGTGCACAGAGAAAAATATAATACTGTTAAGAAAAACGATTACTTGGTTTACTTTTTTTAATAGTTAACAAATAATATTTTCTTGATAAAAATAGTCTTGAAATACACTCACCACAAATTTTAGGAATATTCATAATCACATACTCAAAAAAATAATTTATCCTCTTTTCACAAATATTCATATAAACAATATTCACGTAAAAAAAAAAAAAACATTTTGCACTTGTGGTAAAATCGGTCCTTGATAAAATTTTTGTGTTAAATTTTTAACACATCCGTGTGTTAATTTAACATATTGCGTTTATCTCCGCATATTTTGTTGAGTCGCTATTCAAAATATGTGTAAATGTTAAAATAAAATACATTTCATATTTCACCGTCGACTAACGTATTAATTTTGTGTTGATTTTTGACATAATATTCGCGCTACTTTTACAACGTATTCGCCTTGTGTTAAATCAAACGGAAAATCGAACCGTTCGGGACATGTGAAATGTGTTAAGTTGAACACCAAATATTTGCCGTGCATTAATGTAATATTCTTGATCGAAGTATTAAACATACTCGAATTCGGAATATATTTCGAACAAATACGATGCTTACGATGAACTCATACGTTGCGTACGTGCGAACTAGCGCAATACTCGAAACAAGTTTACTCGCGGCATGTGTTTTTCCGCGCGCGGGAAACTCGAGACCCGTCGTCGTAAAGCGCGCGTACATCGGCCAGCAGGTGCTGTCCCAGCGCAAGAGGTGCCTACCTTGTGCTGCCATTCGAGTTGCCACTGCAGGAAGAGCTGCTGCTGCTGCAGGAGCAGCTCGTAACTGGTCTCGCCGGGCGGCGCGGCGCCGAGGCCGGAAGTGCTGGACGACACCGGCGTCTTCTGCGCGTTCGGCGGCCCCTGGCGAAAATATCATTGCGTAAGCCGTGGACTAGACGGGCGAGGAACGCACAAACGCGATTGATGATCCCCGACAGTCGCGGCGGCTCAACGACAATAACAACGGCGCGTAAATCGCGCTTTTGTGCATCGCGCCGCGCGGCCGGCCTTTACGTAACGCTTGCGCGCGTCCGCCGATTTGCGCGGTCGTCCCGGACGCGTTCCCCGACATCACTGTTCATCCGCGCAGAGCCGATCGCATCGTACTTACGCCGCTTACGCACGCACGCACGTAGCTGCAGGTAGGTGACGTAGCTCCGGTTTCGCGAACTGCGCGCGCGCAGTGATAAATGATACATCAAGATGTTTTCTGCGCCCTCATTTGCACGCCCATTCCGGGCTCGCTTTCACACACACACACACACACGCCACATCGCGCATATCCCCGAGTATTTCGGGCCGTGCTCACCGCGAGATTCGACTTCGCTCCGCTTCACTCGGCCCGGCTCTCTCAGCTTGGCGTCTATCGGGAGCCCGAGGGAGACCCCGCGGCTCGCTCTCTCGCCGCCGCTCCTTGGCTTCCTCGCTCTTAGGTGCAATTAGCGCTCGAATTACTCAGAGCTAACGAGGTGGGGCCCCTCTCGGGAGATCGCGAGAGTTAATCACCCGATACGATCTCCCTCCGAGGCTCGGAAGGCCCCGCCGCCGCCGTGGTCCACGGGAGCCGAGATTCACGGTTCGTGCTCCGTGCTCGTTTTTACCTCGCCTTCTCCTCTGCCTCCTTCCCTTCGGCCGTCTCTTCCTCCTCCCTGCGCCGCGCTCGTCCTTTTTGCTCCTCTCGTGGCCACGGCCGAAATGCGGCCCTCCGTTAGCCCACACCGACCCCGGCGCTCCGATGCAGGAACTAGTTTGTAGTGCCACCCGGCGGTCCGGGTACACGCGATAATTATCGCGCGCCTCTGTATACACTGCGGTCGTGTCCAGTATCGAAAAATACTTTGCACCTCGCTCCCCTCTCCCTCCTCGGCGACGAATTCAAAGAGGACTGCTCCCGTGGCCCCGTGCGCAAAAAATAAATTTGTACGCCAGCTAAGTCGGAGTAGCTTGCCTAAACAAATAGCCAACGTTTGCTATCTTATTGTTGAGCGTTCGCTGCTGCAGATGAAAGTCCCTCACTGCGAAGTGAAAATTTACCAGCCGAATTAAGAGCGCAGATCAGCTCGAATAAGGTAAGAGAGTGGCAGCCGTTCCTACATTGGAAGAAAAAATATTTATTTGATGTTGGTGCTAAGATATTTTTCTCACTTGTACTAATATACATATTTTTATACCAAAGATATATTTTTCAAGTAAGAAAATATACATTTTCTTGTAACGGTAGGTTTTAAGGAAAAAGCAAAATTGCTTACTTTATTTAAATGAGAAAATTCAGATTTACGTAAAATGTAATTTAAATTTATTATTAGCATCCGCATACGCAACATGCATCGAACGAATGTTTGTTATTGCTTAAATATTTTTTTTCTTTCGGCGTAAATGTCTTATCGTATTGTACACTGAAAGAGAAAAGCGCTACGATTAAGTAAATATTATTTGAATTTTACTTGAATTTGAACGATTTTTTCTTTCAGTGTTCTACGCACAAGTAACATTTACTCAATCCAAGTAAATATTTACTCGAATGTAGCATTTTTCCTTTCAGTGTGTACATAATAAAACGTCACTTGTTTTTGGCAGCGAATATTTCTCGCTATTTCGAAGAAACATCTCAGCTGCCACGACGGCTACGTCTCCTTCCGCTAATCCTTTCTTCTGCGTGCATATTCCGCTGCGAGTTCGGGAAGGGGGAGAAGGAAGGGAGGAGTGATTTAAAGGAGCAATTTAAATTCGTTACTCGGGTAATATCCCGAGAACACTCGGGATACGCAAATTTCCGAGCGACGATAGAAATACCGTATTTAATACCACATGACATCGATCGGGCTCGGAGATCCGAGCGTGCGAAGAGGCGAACAGTGATGTCGGTATCTCGATGACGCTCGAGAACACTCGATAATTGAAAGCTTAACGCTCCGCGTGATAAAATCGGTTCTCCTTTCTGCGGACGAGAATGAACAGCATCATTCTGCGACTCGACGGGTATAAAAGGGTGGAGAGAGGCGAAAAGAAAACGACGAGCGTCTCCGTCTATCTCTATCTCTCTCTCTCTCTCTCTCGCGTTCGCTCTCGCTCTCGCCGACGTGTGCAAGTCACACAGAATGACACGCCTGTTCTCGCGGTCGCCGCGCGCGCGTTGCCGAAATGTTGACACAATAAATTGAAAGCGAACTTACTTTGTACTCGTGGAACTTGATCGTGCGGGTCTTGGGCTGGCTCTTAGTCTTCGACTTCTTTCGGTTCTTGTCCTTCCCGGGGGCGTCGCTCCTTTGGCACGTGGTGGCCGCGGCGGCGGCGGCGGCCGCGGCGGCTATCGGGCTCGGCTGGGGTCGCGGGGTGATCGCCGCCGGCGGCGGCGCCGGGGGCGAAGCTATCGAAATGTTGGACAGGGGGCTCAGACTGGACGTCGTCGAGCCGAGAGACATCGGACTCGGCGCCGGCGCCAATGGCAGGAGGGTCGCCGACGGACCATTCGTCTGGCTCGCCTATTGGAGCAAAGAGAGAGAGACCGTTTTTCACAGATTTTTTCGCCCCTTGTTTGTCTTTCGTCCCTTCCTCTCGTCGAGAAACCCCCGCGATGGCCGACGTAATTGCGCCGGTCGCGGTGACCTCTCAGATATGTCCGGGAATCGCGATTAATCTTCGTTGCGCGATCCGATCTCGCCGTTGACGCGGATTACTTAGAGATCCATTTGGAAAAACCGGTGTAATTTACTCATTTACGGGGAGAGCCAACGGCGACGCTTAATCGATGATGCGATCACTGTTTCCCGTATCTATCGCAAGTAGATTCTCGAGTAATCGTAAGATACGTGGGAAGTTGTAAAAAAAAAAATCCTGTACGAAAAAGTTTCAGCGATGAAAATTCCTCCAGAGAATTCGTACAGTTTTTGAAGGATGATCGATGTCGAATGTCCTTCTTAGATGTTCACATTGTTTCATTTAATTGAATATTCATAGATCTCTGTCGGAATGGAAATTTCGTCGCTTGCTGCGAGTTTACCTGCGTAGACGTGTGTTGCTGGTTCTGCTGGGCTTGCTGCTGATGGCCCTGCTGTTGCTGCGTGCCCACAACCGTATTGCAGAGCTCGGCGAAGGTCTGTATCGTCGACTCCGTGGACGTCTGCTGGAAGACCGGAGACGTCGACGAGACCACGACGGCGCCGCCGGTCGTCGGTATGCTGACGGAAACCGTGACGATGCCCGCGGATGCCGCCGCGGTTTCGAGAACGTCCGATCGCGATTCCAGCTGAGGTGAAGGCGCACCCTCCGAGCTCTGGGAATCATCCTCGAAGGTGATGTAGTGGTCCGGGTGCTGGGGCTTCGTTACCTGTCCCTCGCAGGTGGCCTTGAAGGGAATGTGACCCTCTGGGGGGAGAGGATTTAATCATAATCTGCGCGTCAGTTACACGGAGAAAATATTGTAGTAAAAATGATTACAAAAGTTTGCAATGCTGGATTATATCGGAAAACTATTATCGAAATTATTATGATGTCGTAATTTTTAGCGATGTACCTGATATACATGATACACGTCTCTAAAGATTACGACACATCGTAATTTCGGTCATAATCCCAATATGGCTCAGCATTACAAAATATTGTGGTAATTCTTACAGTATTTTCTCCGTAAGAGGAGATCCAGAGATTGCGAAAAAACAAATCTGAATTAGTCGTATCGACAATAAAATATGATAACGAACTTTTCGTAATCAAGACCAGTGATTGACATTTGAGCTCACAGAATTTCAATCGTAGAGAATTAAAGCTACAGCAATGAGAGCTACAGTAGAGTTTCTCGTAATAACGTTACATTTGTTGTGTGTGTCATGGTAACGTCTGAACACCATTTCGCCTAGATATTATTTTTCGTTTATTTTCGCCTCGAAATATTAACTCACTCGAGAATGGAATAACTTCCAGCTCTCGATTAATGGCGCGATAAATAAATACCTCGTATATAGATGGGAGAGTTTATCGAAAAGGGGGAGCAGAAAGAGACTACCGACGTACCTTTGACCGCCCTCTCGATGGGCTCTTCAGTATGAAGGATGTTCTTCTGGATGAGCTCGAGCGGGCCGGGTCGATGGCTCAGCTGATCGTTGAGTTGATCGGCCAGCCTGGCCTTCTTCAGCATCCGCTGCCGTTCGGCCAGGCTCGGATCCACGTGGCCCACATCCTCGAGGATGTGCTGCCTGACCAGCTCGTCCCTGCCCGGCCGTTGCTGGATCTTCGCTTTCAGCAGATCGCCCGTTTTCGCCCGCTCCAGTTGCTTCCGTTGCTCGTGGAACGCCGGCGGCGTCTTCAGCGCTATGCGTATGCGTAACAAAACATTCTCGTTTCACGTGTCGTGTCATGATACCTGTCTCGCTCTTTTCGCGCGCGCGTACGATTAATCTCAAGATCGCGACGACCCGCTGAAATATTCCGCCGGTTATGCGCCTCCGCTGGCGAGACGGTGAAATCGCGCTGGAGAGAGAAAAAGATGGAAAAATAGGGAAGGAGACGAATATATCGTGAAATCATCACCCCGGCAATCGATAATCTCGCCGTGATTAACTCCCGTTAATCGAGCTGGGATTTCTCTCGCGGAAAAATCGCGGCGGATCGACCGAGTCCCCGAGGAGAATCTCAGCGGGGCGGCGACGCGGCGCGCATACTGCGAGCATCAATTTCCGGGATGATGACCCTCAAAGGCGTCCGCACGGCGCCGTTTTCATGTCAACGTGACGCGTTTCCTCTTCCTCTCTCTCCCTTGCTCTCGCACATTCCCCAACACCATTAAGTCGTCGGATAAATGATCCCCGAAGCGCGATTCCTAACCACTATTTCCGGACGCGGATGCTGCCCGCGCATCGGTGCAGACGCGTCATTACGCGGAATAAAAGGCATGTACCCACCACCTACGGCCCCGATGTGGCAACGGAAATGTGAAAATACACGAGGCGCCCTGGTATTTTAACCACGCGCCGTAAGTTTCCATCCGCCGCCTCGGATGAGCGCGTAACGGCCCTCTTCCTCTCTCTCTCTCTCTCTCTCTCTCACTCTTTCTCGCGAGCGCGCACGACGTTTCTTTTTCATTCTTCCCAACCCCCCTCTCTCTCCCTCTTTATTTTCCTCTTTTTCGGCGAAGCGAGCTTCGAGATTAATCGCAGGTATAATTCCCTTGCGCGTCGTTGCGACCGCGAGAGACGCGACGTTTCCTCGGATATTACTCCTCGGCTCGTTACGAAGGATTTACGGCGCGAAGGTACGAGGGAGCCACGTCGAAAAGTGAGGAAACGGGCAGAGGAGGGAGGGAGGTTACTTCTTTTCGATTTCTTGGCTGCTCGGCTCTCGGAGAACGTGGTCGAGCGAACGAGACGACGATTCGTTTGCGATTAGCGAAGCATCATTTGTTTAGAAACGCTTCGTTTCTCGCGACATTTCCGGTCGGAAAAGAAGACGCGTCGTTGAACGTTTTCGCCGTCTTCCTCGAAAGCACCGTTCCCCTCTCGTCGGCGGTGCGACGACGTGTATCAAGCAAGACGTCCGACGACGTTCTTGTGTGACACCTATTCTAATCTCAGACGAACTTTCTGAGGGACGTCGTTAATCTGCCGCAATAAACGTCTTCCGCGGTTGGAGTAAGCTCAAGATTCGGGAAATAAAATAAGAGGCTAGAACACACGCCGGGGGTTTCCACACGACGATTGACATCTCCCCTGGGAGAAAAACGCCAGTCTATTTGCATTCCCCCGTTATACCGCCGTTACGGCCGCGATGCATACGCGCGAGGTGATGTACGGTACGACCTGGCAAGCATCTCGCCGCCGAAGGCGAAGCAACAAATTTCGCGGCTCTTCCATATCACCGTGGACTCGACACGTTATGTGCAATTTCATTCAATTGCTTATCTATAGCGTTCAACGAGAGCGGTCTTTCCCTGAGTATCTTAATTCTCGCGATTAGCTGAATTTTACGAATTTCATTAACAGCTAAACCTTTCTCCCTCTCTTTCTCTCCCTCTCTCTCTCTATCGTTTATTCTGAGAAATAATCTATTTCTATACCAAGTAAAATGTTATTTTAACTCTACAATTAACTCCTCAACGCGCTTGTCTGAGTTAATTTGTGCACGAAAAGTACATATTACAATGGTTGTTACAAGCAATAAATTATTTGAGAGAAGTAACGCCATATTGGAAATATACTAAAGATCTTCTTTGTTTCAGTGTGGAGAACAATATTTAATGTATGACCAAATAAACTTTTTTTTAGTTGAACACCAAATATCAGTTCCTTTAAATAATACTGTTTATTCTATCAAAAAATATGGTTCGATCTAGTGAAACGACATTTTCATTTAAACAAATCATATTTGATATTTGATATTAAATTATGTTATATGCATTAGAGAAACCTAAGTCAAACAAACACATGTACTATATCCAAAGAAACCTTTCTCTCTGTGCGGAAAAACCATGCGTGGGATCGAGGGATTAAAAAATTATACGAAGTGAAATTTCACAAAATTTTGCACGAGGGAAGAACGGTGGGAGGCGAAGATCGACACAATTTCGAAGCAACGCGGCAATGCGTTTCGAGCGATTATACCGCCGGTAAATGGCACTTTCCCGGTTCCGAAAAAAAATGCTCCGCAGAACTGCGCGTCAATTTGCGCGTGCAATGGATTTATAACATAACATGACCGGCCGGCTTCCGCGAAAGCGGCTATTATTTCGCGCGGATGCACGGGACGTGCGCGCACGAGGCGTGGCGGGGCGGAGCGGCTCAACGCCTCAGAAGTTGCAGATGAATGAATCGCCCGGCTGGTATGGAAATGTAACACGCCGCTTCGCGTAATGCAGGGCGAACGAGGGCTATCAAACCAGCGTATTTTCATCAGCTGGCGATATATACCGGGTGCCATAAACGCGCCGGCGCGCTGCCGCCGTCGCCGGTAACAAGAGTAATATTTTAGAGTGTGACCCAAATAATTACTGGATGCCCGTGCTCTCGTTCTGGTAAACATTTGGTACCCGTCGTAAATCTTTACCGGGCAACTAGACTGGCCGCTCTTTACGCGGCCGGTCCGCCTCGCCCGGGATTTCGGGCCGCAGGAACACGACGAGACGCGCGCCATACGCCGCGAATGCGCTCCGGTAGACTTTTGTTGCTTCATTTACTCCGCCTGAGTTTACTTCGCCATGCCCCCACCGCACGATGACGTCAATGAGGAAGAGGAACCTTTAAATCGCTCGTTGCACAAGAGGACACGTCGTCTGTCGGCAGAACCGGTGAAATTTATCGCGATAGCTTTTTCCATTCGCGAGCATTCCCGCCGGCAAAATACCGCCCGGACATTCCTGGTCACAGACACTTCTCCGGAGAAAAAAATTATTAACCCGGTTTTACTTAAGAAGTATAATTGCTCAATAATTACTCAATAATTAGTAAGAGAATAATTATTCAGTAAAAACTGTTATTAGGTGAATAATTATTAGGAAATAATCATAATCGTAAATAAAAAATAATTATAATATTAAAGAAATTATTTGGTTGCAATAATCAAACGTATACGGTCCCCATATATGTTACAACATTTTGGAACTTACCAAATCCTTCTTTCAGTGCAATATTTACTTCATAAGTAAAATAATTACGTGAAAATCGCTAATAATTTCGTTTAATTTGAAGAAGAATCGGCTCGCGCCCCCTCCCTCTTTATTGTAGCTGATTAAATCGTTAAACGATCAATTGATCGTCCCGAAGGCGACTCGCTTCGTCTCGCCCCGATAGCACGCAAAAACGCTCGCTATTGTTAATCGGCGATTAACTCAATTGCCCGCAAAGCAATTTACCACGGCTTAGAAGTGTCCTAGACACCGATCTCGCGTTTCTCGAAAACGTCGCGACAATTAACTCCGTGGCCGTGTCGATCGATCGATCCCACGCGTTCACGACGTCTTCGAGTCTACGAAGGCTCTAGCGAAGAAGGCGATGACGTTCGATGACGGTCGTCGCGCGATCGCAACGTCGACAGCGAGGAGGGTTTAACGGCCCCCTTTTTACAGTCGTAGCGAGCGCAATTTTCCGCGGTGCGCAGAGAAATGGAAAGAGAAAGAGAGAGAGAGAGAGAAATGCGCGTATAAATGGTATAATAAACAAGCGGATCAACACTTACGTGGCATGATGCCTTGCGCAACCAGCTGATTGATGGGTCGCCTCAGCATGAGCTTCACCTTCAGCGCTGCAACAGAAAAAGGGTGCCGCCGGTCATAAAGTGCGCCTCCTTAGTTACGGGGAAGAAATTAGGGGCCAATTCGAGCGGGAAAGAGAGAGACAGAGACAGAGAGGGAGAGAAAGAGAGTGAGAGAGCGCTCGCTCGCCTCGTGGAACTTTTATTCGAACGAGTGCGTTGCACTCCCTTCGAGTCGAACAAGAGAGAGAGAGAGAGAGAGAGAGAGAGAGAGGGGAGTCGAAGAAGAAAGACGGAGAGGCCGCCGCCGCTCGTGAAAACCTCCCGTCTCTCGACGGCATCGCTCCAATTTCTGCGGGATTCCCGCGGAAGAGTCGCGACAGCCGCGAAATCTCAGGCCACGGCGGCGACCGTGCGTATGATGCTTCTATAAAAATCACGGAGATCAAAGTCGATCGTTTCGCCCTAACCGTGCGCACGCACGGGCTTCTTTCCTGTTGCTGTTATTTTCCTCGCCCCCGCGCGCCTCATTCTCCGGTCCTTCTAGAGGCCGGTAGTTGTATTTTAGAGACCGCCGACGGTTTATTGAAAATTTGTACAGCTAGACCATGACTGGTCAAAATGTAGCGCGAGGGGAAACAATTCGACGAGTGTGCGTGTTAAGGTTGATTCTCATTATCCGTCCATCTTCACTCGTTCGTTGCAGTCTTCCTTCGCACTAGCGAAATGATTATTAAATCAGTCCTCGATTTTTTATACGAAGGATAACCGCGAGGATATGACCGCGAGGAAGGTCGTACGCAGAAAAAAATGTGCTAGATTCAAGTAAATAATTACTCCGATACTCCTCAGAAAATTTTCTATCTGGAAGTGAAATATTTTCAAGTGATACTTGAACCAAATGAAATATTTTCCAAGTAAATTACCCAATTAAAATTTACTTAATCCAAGTAAGAGCCGAGAAAAGTGTTAGAATAATTATTTGCTGAGAGGTATCAGAATAATTATTTACTTGAATCTAACACTTTTTTTCTGCACGCGTATTTGTACTCGTCAACGTTCGCTTTTCCGCGAATCGGATTTGGCGGGCGCGGAGAGGAACGAGGACGCGCCGAGGAGCGTCAAAGGAGCCAAAGGTCGGAGAAACGCGCGGAGGTCTGCCCGGTGCGCGCAGGACTACCCGGGTACAAATTAACACACAAAGGGCGGGCGGTTATAAATACGCGTACGACGCGGGCCAGATTGCATAAATTGCCCGCGAAAGAGGAGGAACAAGAACCGCGCGCTCGGCCGCGCGCAATCTGAATTCAAAGCAGCCAATGTCCCGGCGAAACGCCTGGCGCACTGCCTTCGCAGTATAATGGCTCATCCGCGGCGGGGCTCGCTGCTTTAGTACCGCTGGACTCTCGTAACCGGGTTCAGCTCCCCCGAATCCTCGTCAACTGATACTAAATCGCCGGTTCTGCTGACTCTTCTCTTCCCTCCTCCCGGCGCCCCACTCGAAGCAGGCCGCGATCTTCCCGATCGTTTCGCCAAATTCTAACGCTAACATCGCGCCGGGAGACTTCCGGAGCACCGTGTGTACAGCAACACCGCCGTACGACTATTAACTCTCGCTGTATCATCGGACGGCATCGTTGGAACGAAGAAACCGTATTCTGCCTCTCGAGTTTCCCCTCTGAGTTTTGACTACTTGTAAAGATCGTTGTATCGTGACATTTACCCCTTCCCTCCCGAAAAAGAAAGACGACACTTGTTCTCTCATTTCTTCGAAAACTGAAACGAAATTCATTCCATCTTGCGATTCCTTCGTCGAGACAAGAAAACCCAGTCTCAGCCTTTGATTTTCATGGCTTTCATCCTTTCTCAGAGATCTTCCAGAGAAGAAAAGGAACACGTTACTTACCCTCCCTAAAGCTAAAATAACAACTTACTTCATCTTCCGATTACCATGTACTATATTATGCCGAGGATCAATTATCATCGTTAAAAAAGTCGCCGAATATATTGCATTGTCGCATGCCGCGCTTCCGCTTATTCATCCCGATTTATTCATCGCGCGCTCTTAATTAAGCCACGCCGTTGGATGTTCGAACGCCTGCGGGACCGAAAGCGCGCGTTCGTCGGGCTCTCTCGGGCAACATTGTGCTTTGGCATAGAATCGTCGTCCGTGACGCCACAAATGAGGCTCGCCCGTTGAGCGATCCGTTGTGCCTATACCTCGTTTCCTTACGTAAACAGCACGTTCTATACCGAGCAAGACGAAATTAACGCGGAATTTGGTCCTATGTCTCACTGGCTAGTGCCATTAAGCATCCGTCCCGTGTCGCGGCTGCTGTTCTCGCGCCACCACCTCGGGCTTCGCTTCGTTCCTCGCTCCTCCCTTTTCGGGATTGTCCAGGTGAAAAAATGACATTTCCGAATTCGAATCCGAATTCCCTCCCTCCCTTTTCGGGATTGTCCAGGTGAAAAAATGACATTTCCGAGGCTTCGGGCCAAAAAATATCGTACATTTGCTGCGCGTTTTTGTGAGAAAATACGTGCGCGCTTCACTGCGTGCCCGCGAGCGCGATTTCCAGGATCGATAACGGGGATACCGATCAGAAATGCTCGTTAGGAGATAAAGTGGATTTAATCGCGATTAAAACGCGTCGGTACGCGACGTTCCGCTACGCTCGCCTTGCACCTTGTACCCGCGGCTGTAATAATTCGCGGCTCGTGCGCGATTCCAAATCGCCGCGCGCTCCGATTACCGCTCGCCTATCGTAATCGCAATAATTCGCGCTAATTGGCGATTCCGTTCCGTCGAGTTTCATTAGGTCGATCTCACGGCGACCGGGAGACTCGCCGGCGCGACGGGGGGGAACGAGACTACGGGCTCCGCGTCCAAACCAGAGCCTGCAAATTCACTGAAGAACCGGAGCCGAAATTTTACTTCCACGTTAAATTTACTCGGTTTTATATTGAGCCTTCAGACGGAGGAAACGGAAATAACTCCTGATCTGTAACATCAAAGAAGCATAGCAGAAAACTTTTGAAGACTTAATGTAGAATCGGATAGATTTAATGTAGAAAATTTCGACTATCCCGAAACGCCTCGAAATCTCCAGACGCCCCTGGATTCCCGGGGATGTAAAAACTACCGGAAATCTGCCTCGTCTTCGTGTCTCGGCTCTCAGTGTTCGACTGATGATAAAGATTCGGGTAGACCGCAGCGCGCGCTGCCCGCCGAGCGAAACGGAGCGGAGCCCGAGGCGAAGCGAATTCAGAGTGGAACGGAGCACATTAGGAAGCACGAGGAGGAGGATAAGAGACGCGGAGAAGATGGATGCTAACGACCGGAGCGGCGCTAGCTACCGGAAGATACGCTGGACCGAACGTTGCTCGAGAGAGAGAGAGAGAGAGAGAGAGATGCGGCTGATCGACCGACCAGTCGCGCTCGTTCGCTCGCCCGTCCTCTCTCTCTCTCTCTCTTCCTCCCTCACGTGCACACGTGCATAGTTGCGCACGTGCATAGTTGTCCCGTGTAGCCGGTGGCACGGCAGGTTACGACTTCGTGGCTCGTGGCCGATCGCGCTTACGCGAATTCCCACCGTGTCTCGCATTTCTGGGAGCTTCCGTCGTTGTTTCGCCGCGGTAAGCCGGAGATAATTTCTTAAGCCCGCAGGCTCGCACATCCGAGTTACGCACGAAATCCAGTTTCAACACGCGGCAATCGGCGGCGATACGCAATCTGATAAAGGCGGGTGAGAACCGGTGACACGATATTCGAGATACTCGGACACTGAAAAATATCCGAATCGACCCATCCACCTCGCGAATAAGGGGCATTAAGCCCGAGGGTTTCCCGGATTAAGTATCTTCATCGCTAAATATCCTCTTATCGAGAAGATATTTCCGCAAAGCTCTCTGAATTTCTTCGAGTGGAAGTCCATTTAAGAAATTAGAATAATACTGCGAACCACCTCGGATTCTTCATTCAGAACGGATTTTCCACTCTGAATCCGCCGAGTGTACGTCTTCATTCGGAATTGAAGAGCGAATCTGATATGCTCCATCGTCCACAAGAATAAATTCATTCTAATTGATCGACCCTTCGCTCGTACGGATTGAGAAATCATTCTAAGTTTGCGTTGAGGGGATACCATTCTTGAAAAATTTACCGGCATAATATTGACTTTTCTCTCGCGAAGTTTATGTTATACACGGAGAAAATATTCTAGTAAAAATTACCACGCAAATCTTGTAATGTTGGACCGTACCGGAATTATAACTGAAATTTGTGTGCCTTCGTTTTCCAGATCGCAATAATCCTGCCGATTGAAGGCCACCACCTTGATAAAAAATTACAGCTCTTTTCGCCAAGCATAAACTTCATTTTATTTTAATTGATTTTATTTTAATTATTTCAATCTTAATCACAAAAATAGTTATGGGAATTATTTCTCTAGTAAGTGTTATTGTAGCGTCAGCGATAATAGCCTAACACACGGACGTTGCTATTACTGCGATAAATTATGTTTGGCGCTGAAAATAACTATAATTTCCCATCGGCGAACGCTTCGTTACGCGCAAAAATACGCGAGTGACGAAGGCGTCGTAACATCGCCGAGGTTGCTAGCCCCGCGATCTATCATATTCCGGTATCTCCAAATGTTTACACAGTCAACACAGTAAATTTCGCGGCAGACACCTTTTACGATTGCAATAAAACTCACGGCGGCGGATATTGTATCAATATTACGCCTGCTACTTCGCCCGCGCCCGTCTCGTCCGTTTAAAACTAAACATTACGCGGACCTACTTACGTGCTCGCGCGAATTTACGAACTTCGCGCTCGCGCACGCACGCGGATATGGCGCGAAGCGTACTTCAAAGTAAATTCATTACCGTGCTCCCACGCGTTAGCCCGCGAGTCCATGTTAATTGCGAAGTTTCCGGATGCCGAGAGATATGGGAACCACGCGCCGCGAGCGAGCGAGCGAGCGAGCAAGCATTCGCGCCATCCATAGAATGCAGATTTGCACGGCGCATTCCTGGGAGGCGATTAT